CTCACACTGTACCGCGATAAGTCTAACAAAGTTGCAATTTCTGAGTTTGATTTCCCAGAATAAAAAATTTTTATTATCAGTAACCGAATTTTCTCACTAATATCCTTTCCTCTACCCATTTTGAAAACCTTAACTACCCAAAACTATTTTAAACGTATTCTGACAGCTGTGATTAATAAAAACATTTGTCGTGGCTTTTATTTTTCACAGCCACCTATGCGTTATAGACTTATTTTGCATTGAAATGAAAATTGGTTGATATGCTGTAATTGCAACATGTGTTATTTTTATGCTGCAAATTTGATTAGGGAGTGATAAAGTTGGTCTTTTCTACTATATTATTATCAAAATATTGATTGTTAATATTTTAAACATATAACACCCTGCTACGTTTTTATTATTTGTGTTTGATAAGAAAAAAACTAAGATTTCAATAGTTGGGCCAACTGAAGTGGGAAGGGGCTCGTACTTTGCTGTATCAACATAATAATAATAATACTTACCGGGGGCTTGTGCTGCTCTTTGCAAATTATGCAAGAAGTAGCACGTCTTGAAATCGTCTAACAGCACAATTATCTGCAAAAACATGCTCTCTTAAAAAACACACTGAAACTACGAATGTAATGACAATACTGTCCAAAAATTGATTTTTGTCAAGTGTACTTTGGTCCTCATCTTCTACCTAGTCTAAGTTTGTTGGTTACCATGGAATGATAATTCTAAAAAAAAAAATGCAAATTTGACCAGAACGTAATCAGTATTTTGTACCCCCCTCCCCTTATATACGCCACTGACAGTCGCACTACAATGATATTAAGGGGAGGTTGGTATATATAAGACTGACGATGCTGATTGGTCCAATAAGCAATTTAGAATTAAAATAAAAAATAATTTTAAGCACACCTTTTTCTTTTCTTACCAAACTGAATCTTGTAATATTCCGCGTAAGACCGTAAATGTTAAATAGTTATGGAATGGTGTAGAGATTTTCAAAATATCTTCTGTTTTAGACCACAGTTTTTGCGGCTACTCTCCGCCGAAAGCTCTTTATATACAACTTTATGCAAATAGAATAAGTTACTCTCAAAACCTCTAAATTATCATATAGCTTCAACTTTTAGGGTCCTAAGCGGAATATTATACGATTAGTTTAGTAACAAAAAAGAAATATCTGCTTGAAATTCAAATTTTTTCTAACCTCAAATTGATTATTATTTGGCCGTCAATCGTATATGTACGGCCCTATAAGTACCAGTATAAAAAAGCTAAGACCTATTTTTGCTTCAAGGGGCTCAATGGAGAAATCGCAGAAGAATGATAACACCATGTTTTGGACGGATGAGTACCTTAAAGCACTACGTAGAGGTTTTCGAAAAGATGGGTGACATACTAGTAGAAAAATTGAACGAGCAAGTTGGTAATCCTAATTTCGACGTTTTTCCACACATGAAATTGTTTACGATGGAGATTATTTGTGGTATGTTTGTCAGTTTCTAGGACGGTGGGCGTCTTATCGCAAAGTCATTTGTTAAACGATACCTAATGCATTTCGTTTCATGAGTAATGAATATTTTTGATATGCAATAAAGATAATCAAGGCTTAATTGAATCAAACAAAAAATGGTGTAAAGTCCAAAACAATATACTTACCATTTATCTCGAACTAAATGACTGTGGGGTATAAAGTGTGTTCCAGAGTCGCTTCTCTATACAGGGATGTCAGCTCCTATTATAGTTGTACAGCAAAGGTTAAATGAGGTAAGTTTTAGAGGAAATTTAGTGCTTTTGAAAGCTCAGATTTACGATAGGTCAATTGGTTTTGAAAATATCAGCGAAAAACCGAAAATGCCGGAATTTGTTTTTTGCCAGTAAATCCAAAACGGTTGATTTGTCAGCTATCAAAATGTGACATTATTCGGTAATTTTTAAAGGAAAATAGGATAGCATGTATGACATGTCTCAATCATCTTTTGTAATCCAGCAACCCGCCTATCGTTTTTCTTTGACCGCCATATTGGATTTTTGATTTTTGAAAAGATTGTAAAATTTCCAGTCTAGTGTTATCAGACAAGTGTACAAAAGATTGAAGTATCACCGAAATATCATCATAGGTAATGTTATGTATTACTTTTTTCTAAGGAGGCCATGATTTTATTTGCCAGAAAATAACATTAATGAGTAAGGCATTAAAAACACATAAAGGCCTTGAAATTTCAATAGAATATTAACGTTAAAATCGACTTCTCAACAAGTCAAATGTTTTTGAACAAATACTCAACTATGTGTTTGGAAAAACATGTCAAAAAAATTGTCGTAAATCTATTACGAGGAATTTATAAACAAGACGAAACGGTGGTGTGATTCCTATTTCCTTTTTTCTAAAATTAATTAATTGTTAAATTAATAAAACACTATATCGGATTAAGCCACAAATTCCCGAGATGTTTGTCGAATCTTGTTTTGCGTGACCGCCAAACAAAAGGAAAGAATCTAACAGTAAGGATGAAACCTATTTAATTTTACAGAGAGAGCCAAATAAAACAAAATATTTCAAAAAGTATCAAAATATATTATCAAAACAAGCAGCACATATACTCCACCACTGAAGTGCAAGTTAAAAGAAAGGATATTATTCAAAACTACCTGTAAATAAAATTGTAATTAACCCTGCAAAACGTTCACCATGGTACACGTACGAAACCTAAACTTATCTGGACAGTGTTCTTCTTCCAGTTACGGCTTTCGGTGTAGCTGAGATGTCCACAGCTCACAAACGCTGAGGTGAAAACATAGTGGCCAGTAGTGAGCAGTGACGTGAGGAACGTGACAAGGTAGGGGCTGCTTGCCTCCGTTTTCAAAATTTACAGTATAAAAAGAAAAACCCTAGAGAGACAGATATACTGCTTAAAAATCTACTCTCTATTCTCTGTCTGAGACAGAACTACACATTTAAACAATCCAAACTTGAAGAAAAACTATGTACATTATCTTTTACAAAAAAAGTAAAGCAAGAGAAAGAAATAATAAAAATATACTAAAGTGATATACCCTCAGAAATCTATCGCTTGTTCCAAGATAAAGTTATGGCAGCTCAAAAATCAAAATCATAATCAATGTAATGTAATGCCCAATAGAAGGTGCCATGTAGGCACTTCCCTATATTTGAATATGTAAAATGCCCAACAAAATCAAGTACAAACTACTGATCAACATAGTAAAAAAAAGGTTAAGTGATTTTGGCACGTGAAATTATTTTATACATGCACAAACAAACATTCTACAAAATTGTAATGTATTGTAAAATCTAATTATGTAAGTGGGTATTAACTTACAGATCAGCCTAACGTCCATTTGGATCCAGACATTTTTGACATTTGGTGACTTTTTTTCGTACAACCTTAGCTAGTGTATTTCTGTTAATGTTTCTAACTGAGCTTAAAATTCTTTGTCTCAGGATTTCTATGGTTGCAGGAGGATCAAATTCATATACGTCATTCTTTGTGACCTTAGACGTAGAAATTCAAGGGTGCAAGGTCAGGGGATCTAGGAGGCCCGGATATTGAACCATTTAACGAAATTACTATTTCATCAAACTGTAATCTTAAGAAGTTCCTGACTTGAATGGTGTTGCGAGCCGGACATCCACCCTGTTGAAACCAGGTTCTTCTAAACTCATCTCCGGTTGACTAGTTCGTAAAGCCGACACAACCTCTGGTTTCGCACAAGCTCTAGATACCTGTCCGTTTAGGTTGTAGTCAAATAAAAATGGCCCTATAAGTCGATTTCCTGAAATGATTAATACCTAATTTCAAATAGGTGCCCAATCCCTCAATTCGTAAACCTACTCTCATCGGACCACAAGACATGATTTAACAAAATCGGGATTTTCACTACACTTCTCAGTATACCACGCACAGAAGCGCATTCGCCTCGGAAAATCAGTTTCCTTGAGTCCTTGAACTATGGTACTATAGGTCTGTATGGATGGTACTTATTATTACTCTCCGTACTGTTGATTTTGACACACCAATTTATCGTTCTATAGTTCTTACTGATGCACTAGGGATTTTGTTGACAGCTTGTAAAATATTTCTGTCGCGATTTTCATTTTCAATATTGTATCTGCACCTAAACTGAATACTGAATCCAAATTCAAGATGAGATGTAAATAATAACAGTTAGCGCGTGATCTCTCGGTAACAGGTGGGGAAAACGCCTCTTATTGGTCAATTCGCCATTAAATTTCAAGCGGCCGCCTGGCGGAATAATGCACGGGGCAGGGGCAGGGCAGGCAGAGTTGCACTCAGGCCACCGTCCGTCGCGTGTATCACTGCGTGCTCGTGTTTTCGTATTCACCTTGCTTGGTTATTGTTAAGTGTATTTGAATAATTTGTTAAGTTTCTGTTAAATACTGTCATCTTTGTTTTACAACACGTTGGTGGTAGTCCATCATTCGGAGGTAGCCCTGAACGCCGTCGTTGCTTTTGGCAAACACGCATCCATTCTATCTTGGGTGTAAATACACTATAGGTTGTTTGAAGGCCCCATGCTTTATTAATTTAACTAATATTCTTCTAAATTGGGCTTTATGAGGGTGCCGTCGTTCGGGGTACATCCCCAAGTACCTTGCTGAGGCAATGTCGGCGTTTCTGTGTGACTGCAAGTACAGCGCTAACATGTCAAACTTTTCTTCATTTGAGTAGGGACTACCGGCCAGTTTCAACAGGTTTTGACGATTATTTTTGTCAGCTTTATGATTTTAATGAGAGAAAACGTAACTACTACTTATTTAAACACAATTTTAATACTTTGAATTATTCAACGTCAAAGTCAGAGCCTCCCTAGATGAAAAAAATGCGTTACTTATTCATTTTATTTTCTGACAAATAAATCATGGCCTCCTTAGAAAAAAAACAATACATAACATTACGTGTGATGATATTCCAATCTTTGATGCACTTGTGAGACATCACTAGGCTGGAAATTTTACGCTCTTTACAAAAATTGCAAAATCCAATATGGCGGCCATTAGAAAAAAGAAAGTTGATGCAGGTTTCGGGAAAATAAAATACGATTGAGACATGTCATACACGCTATCTTATTTGCCTTAAAAAAATTGTCACATTTTGACAGGTTGGTGTCAAATTAACCGTTTCGGATTTATTGGCAAAAAACAAAATTCGCATTTTCGGTTTTTCGCCGATATTTCCAAAACCAATTGACCGATCGTTAATCTGAAGCTGGCTATCAAATTCAATAAGTTTCATCTAAAACTTCCCCCATTTAACCTTTTCTGTAGGTATAACAGGATCCGGGACCCCTGTATAGAGAAGCGAAACTAGAACACACTATATTTTCGAAGTATGCCTTGTAATACTTTTAAATCCCTCAAAGTAGTCGTCTGGATGGAGTTATATTGGCTTGTGACAATGAGAAACAAAAATGGAAATTTAGGATTGAGGAACTGAGGAATACCTACATTCCGTCAAGTAGGTTGACTCTGCACTTCCTACGCAACGACGTCATTAGTTCATATTAATTCAGCGCAATTTAAATCAACTGACAAAAGCGTCAATTACGAACATGTATAACAGAGAAACGGATTAGATCAGTCAAATAGGCCCATAAAATTAGTCCATAGTCATTCTTTCTCTGCCCTACCGGTAGTTACTGACCATCTGGCAACGTTGTCCTTTTCAACAACTGCGCTACTTCGCTACAGAGAGTTGTCATTCATTTCGTGCATGTTTTTTGGGCTATAGTATGGAAAGATCAGTCAAATGGGCCGGTTCGCCGATCGGTGAGCTTAGATAGCAGGAGTACGCGATTCAAAACGTTTCTCTAGCATTCTAAGCTTTAAAGACAAATATACTGGGGAATCGACGATGTGTGAAATAAGGCTAATATGTGCATATAACTACTAACATCAAAACATTTTCATACCATCCTCCGCCCCCAAGATGTACGATTAATTAAATAATAACGTTTCGCTATTTCGTGGATCAAGCCTGTTAAATTTCTTCTCAAAATATATGGTAGTATACAAATATAATTTTAAAGAAGTATCTTAGACACATGAAAATAGGTATTTTGTAACTTGTATCTGGCCTAAGGTCAGGAACCATACCGATTTCTGGGATCTTAGGCTGAGCCGGTTGAGGGTTTTGTCAAAGACCTTGAAGACAATCATTTATTTGCAAATCTTACAGATTTTTTGGAATTGAGTGAGATTCTCCCAATACATCAGTCAGGGTTCAGAAAATCATCAAATCACAGTACTACAACTGAGCTTCCTAATTTAGTGGACAACATCATCAGGGCCCTTGATAAAAAATGTCGTCTTAGTATCACTCGATTTCTCCAAGGCCTTGATCACGCACTAATGTGTGCGAAGTTGAAATTTTATGGTTTTATGGTTTTTCAAGCCATTCCTAACCTACCGGTGGCAGCTCTCAAATTCTGGAGTTTTGTCAAATGAGTACTTTATTACTTCTAGTGTGCCTCAGGGCTCAAATTTAGTCCCATTGTTATTTTTAATTTATGTAGCCAATATTGCTAAGTTCATTCAAAATTCACAGCTACAGTCATATGCGGATGACACTTACTTTACTTCTTTTACCCCGTCGACCTCCAGAATCCAACTGTGGAAAGTTAAAGAGGACATTGAATCTATTTGTACCTACTCAGCCAATAACAACCTAACCATTAATCCTTGTAAATCTGCTGCTCTGCTGTTTTTACCAAATCACAGAAGATATGTAGTCAAAGCTTCTTTGAGTATATGTATTAATAATCAGAATCTTCCTTTTTCTGAAAGTCTCAAGTGCCTAGGTGTGATAATTGATGAAAATGTGCGGCTTCGTGAACGTTTGAATAACCTCTTACAAAGAACTTATATTCATCTAAGAACCTTGTATGCGAATAGACATTTGCTGAAGTTCAAAGTGCGAAAAAAGTTGTGCGAATCTTTTGTGTTATCAATTTTTAATTATTGTAATCTATCGTATTATTCTTTTTTAGATGTTGCGAGTGTAAGGGAATATCTGTTGTACAAAATAACTGCATACGTTTCAGATTTAGTTTAAGAAAATTTGACCATGTTTACGATCGTTAATCTTCGATAGGTTGTTTAAAGATGACATATTTAATAAAACACAAAAACCTACTCCAATTTATTCACGTGAAAAACTAACTTTTAGATACAATGTTCACCAACGACCTATACGTAACACATCATAGTTCGTCACTTTTTAAACCGTCCTGATATAATGTGCGCGTTTTGTACAATAGATAGATTTAGATTATCGAACAAAAAATATGTCTAAATAGTTTTAGAGAACATTTGAAAGCTCTTCTGCTTAATGATTCTTTTTTAAGGTGTTTTTCTTCAGCATTATACTTTCTTGCTAAGACATGTCTAGGTTGTTTCTTTTGTATTATTCTCCTTTCAATTTATGTGTAGTACAGCTGTACTCTTCTACCATCTAATGTTTTATACAGTGTTAAGTTGTAGCTGTTGTAGCTAAACTTCGTCATTAAGCGGTTCACTAATTTTCTTATAGATAATACATGCATTATCTGTTATTTGTTTTTAGTGAAAAACGGATTATTATTACCTCAAATACTTGTATTTTAAATAAGTCACATCTCTGTTAACTCTTCAGAAACCGCAATGGGAATCTCTACGGATGCTCAAAGAAGTGGCAATACTAGCTACTGTCGCAGCATAGAAGCACTGACACAAATAGTAATGCACAGAACAATGCACCCATACAAACGTTTTGACTTTCCATTCCGATTTTCTAATGAATATCAGAAACAGCAGGAGGCTTTGAAAGTAGTAGACGCATTTTACGAAGAAATCATCAGAAGTAAGAGAGAAGCTTATTCCGAGTTACCTGAAGAGGACGAAGCGTCAAAACAAAACTTTTTGGATCAATTATTGCGATACCAAGAAAATGGGGAAGCGCTTTCCGATAAGGACATCAAGGACGAAATCAACACCTTTGTTCTTGGCGTGAGTTTGAGCTTCATTAAAATCACTTTTAGAGCTAGGAAAGGAGTTGACGGTAAACTTACAGAGTGTCCTAGAATAACAGATGATATATATATACAAAGAGAATATGATCATGCGGAGAAAGGTATATAACAACAAGTAGGAAAATAATGGGCAAAATCCGCAAAAAGGAGGAAAGTGGATTCCAGAAAATAGGATAGGTAACCCGAGCGATACGAAGTTGGAGGGGGAAAAAGTTTCCTCAGGTTACACCCGTATCCGGATGTGTGGGCATGTGTATCTACTTTTGTAGTTTCATATGTGCATTCATTTCGGGCCTGATGAAGCCAACCAGCAGAAATACGTATCGCTCGGGTTACCTATCCTATTTTCTGCTCGAATCCACTTTCCTCCTTTTTGCGGATTTTGCACATTATTTTCCTACTTGTTGTTATATATATTTATATATATATATATATATATATATATATATATATATAGAGCAGATGGGTTGGACCTGAACGAGTCGCTCCCAAGCAGCAATCGAAGGTATCGATTCCGATGGGGTCGATTCCGACTCCGGTAGTCTCGATTCCGATTTCGGTTCCGAGTGGCAACATCTATTATACCACCAGAATTGTCAGCCTCTAGCGGTCACAGTGGTGATTGGCAGGATGAGGACTAGCACCTTCAGGACAGTGTCTCCTTACGTGCCCTATTTTTCCACATTTCCAACATTCCCACCTGCTGTTCTGGCGATGACGTTCACCATCAAGTTCCTTAAAAATACGCTTGACGAACTGTTAGAAGTCGTTATCTCCTGGTACCATCTGGCGGACTCGGACCTGGCTTTTATTTGTGTTTTTAGCGGCTTCGAATTCTAAGGCCCGAGTTAGCGCATCTACTAGCTTAGGGAGGTGTACCAGTGGTACGACTTGTCTCATTTCACTATCACGAAGTCCATCCAGGAATGCTTGAACTGCCAATAGCTCCATTATCCTTTCCTGAACATCGGGATATGCTAATCGTACCAACCGCGCAATATCCGCTTCGAACTCCTGCAAAGACTTGCCTGACTTCTGGAACCGATTCTTGAGTTGAGTATGGTAGACGTGTTCTAAATGTGATTGGCCATATCGCATCTCCAAATGTCCTAATAGTTGTTCATAGACCTCTTGCTCTTCGGGTGATATTCTTTGAAGAATAGCTGCACCATCTCCTCGTAGGGCCAAAGTGAGTGCAGTTGCCTTTTCGGTCGATGACCAACCATTTGCATTCGCGGCTGCTTCAAACTGACGTCGGTAGACATTCCAAGGTGGTGTACCATCAAATTGAGGCGATTTCATTCGCAGATAACAAGCTGACCCAACAAGTCCACGCTGCCGTTCGTCGATGGTCTTGACGTCTAAAGCGGCAAACTTGCCTTGCACTTCTTGAATTCTGTCCTCCAGGGTAAAGATCCGTTATTACAACTCGCAAGATTTTTCCATAATTTTATCTTCCAATTATTTCTTTAAATTGGCAGTATTTTCCATAAACTTCTCTTCTAATTTGGCTGTAGTTTCCAAGAGTTTACCTTCTAGGTTGGCACAATTTTCCACGAGTTTTCCTTCTAGGTTGGCACAATTTTCCACGAGCTTGTTTTCTAATTTGGTCGACAGGTTTTGCAGCATTATTCCAATATCCCTTGCACCGGTAAAAATGAAAATATCCGGGTCCTCACCGTCCTCAATCAGTGCTTGACGAAGCCGCTTCTGTAATTCTGCTTTCTTTCCGGCCATGTCGCACTCTCTTCCCTCCAGCTCTCTTTTTAAATCGGCAATTTTCAAATCAACCAATCGCGCCATTCTTCCTTCACTGATCGTCCGATTTATTTTCACTAAATGTCCTAAAATCCACTCCCCGTACCTGACACCAATGTAGCGTTTTTCTGGGTTCTTTTGGGTGTGGATTAAAACTCTGGATTCCACAAAAAGAAATGCACTGATTTATTTAACTTGATAAAACATTTATATACACCATTATTTATGTCTAACTAATTCTTATGCCACCATTGACTGCACTATTCCTAGCTCTGCTACTCTACCGTATTCCGTACTCTGCCACCATCTTCGAGAAGAAAACGGATGTACCACAAAGCGACATCTAGAATGTTGGAGATCACTTCGCGTCGATCTAGAAGGCGATCCACTGTCACGGTCCTCACAGACGCCGCCAGGCGGCTTGTGCGCCGTGGTTCGCGTAAAAGCAGAGATCGGCAATTAAGCTCTGGCGAGTAGGAGACTCGCCCAACAGATGGCGCTATTACACACTGGAATAGCCTTCAGTTCGTCAGTTACAGATATTTGAACGTTTTCGACTGTCCCAAAATCAGTTCCCTTGAGGTGATTTTTCAACTTCGGGAAGAGAAAAAAGTCACTAGGCTCAAGTCGTTCGAATAACGAGGCTAAAGAGCCACATTAATCTTTTCACTGGCCAAAAACTCGTTTACTGGCATTGCTGTGTGACAGGGAGCATTATCGTGATGCAACACCCAGTTGTTCTTGATCTGATGAATGGTGGTGTGAGTCAAATGTAACTCTTCCCCGAACATTCTGACTGTCAACTGACGATTCCCGGATTCTGTCGATATTTTCATCGGTTCTTGAAGATGAATGCCTTCTTCAATCTACTCTCTCCCTTCTGAAAATGCCTTAAGTCATCTAAAAACCTGGGCCCTTGATAAAACACTATATCCATAGCCTTGCTGAAGTTTAACAAGGGTTTTCGTTGCACTGTACTCAAATCTGAAGCAAAAAACTGATAGCACACAGTTGATCGAAGTTGATGTCATTCATTTTTAGAAAACAATAGGAAAAACTGTTTCACAACAAAAATCGCGACAACTAGATGACTCGAACGAGTACAAGCTTTTATTGAAGGCGTATCACATGTTCCCCTGTCTTCCCTCCAAGCCCGGCGCCGCCAGTGTTGACAGTCTCATCACTTAATTTACAGACTTCGTATGTTATCCTGCATTATTAAGAACTACAAGAATTCAAGGAACACAGATTCTAGGGGCGTTAAAATTTCCTCCAGAGGTTTTGAGCTTCTAAGATACAAAAAGTAACATTTTAATATGATATTGGGTGCAAGAGATAGGCTTACTCAAACTTATAAATCACGTTTAGCGTTTTTTTTATTCTAGGGTCACGATACTACAGCCACTGCCTTGTCGTTCACTCTGTATTGCTTGGCTAGACATCCGGAGGTCCAGGTAACGAAAGTTTTAACTCGAAATGTGACAATGAAAATACAACACCGAGTAAAAATGAAATTTTGTATACAGTTAGGCACAACATAAGCAAAAGGTGATTATATTTTGAAGTTAAAACATTTGCGTTATTGCTAGATTTCGCTGATGTTGTGTTGGGTCACCTTGATGCCGTATACAGAGAATTCCATATACCACTGATGTCGTAATGTGTACGAGAGAGAAGAGCGAGAAGCGTGCATTAGGTTAATAAGAAAGAGAGGGATAAGCACCACGATGCCTAGCAGCTGATATTTCTAAATCACGATCCACTACTGTCACCAAATACCGTGAAAAAGTGTGACACTTCGGAAACTAGATGCTTCACGGCAACCGCAAATAACATCATGAAATCACGACATTATAACGTTTGAATGTGCGTGAGATGTGAGGGGAACGATATCGCGTCTTATACGCTTCGGTAGGTCGCTCCATGCGAACACTGTTTTTCCCATTCAAGGTTTAATTTATTTCCTTAACACTAATTTATGACACTTTTACCCAATTTATGACACATTTATTACCAATGTCGTTGCGTTGACTCGTTGTCCATAGACTCGACTGTCTCTAAATGCTTCTGCCATCTGGTCATGTATTTATTCCCCTATCGACGAATCGACAAATGTTCCAGCGTTTTCCAGGCCGACTCACGAACTTCCATGGAAGTGACCTAGATGGCAGCAGATTCATCTCGTGGCGTGCCGAATCTTCTAGTTGATGTACGAGGGTGTATCTCATTGGTACCGGTGTCCAGGTATACGAGAGCGTTACAGTTCGAAAGTCGTGACCACGCCACGGTATTGAATCAGTGATATCAAAAAGTAACGATATCTGATATCACAGATATTAAAATATAATGATATTGGCCATCTCTACCTCCAAGATATCCAGACCATTCGCCAAGTGAACATGCATTGGATATGATGGGATGAAGAACGATCTTTTTAACCCATTCTCTACAAACGCTAACAGTTTATCGGAACCAAGTTCAGCTAGCTTGGAATGGTATACCTCTTTACACATGAATTATCTTATCAGAAGCAGATACGCCGACGACGGGTCCAGCAAATATAGCAAATCGTTTCACATCACAACTTAATCACTACGTCCTCTTGCTCGTGTCTAACTGTATATAAAATTTTATTTAAATAAAGTTACTTATAATGGGTGTTTATTTTCTTTGTCAATGAGTAGACAACTATAAAATTAATATTTGCACGGTTTTAAGGAGAAAATATTGGAAGAGCAAGAAAAGATATTTGGCAGCTTGGAAAATGAACCACAAACGACATATGCTGATCTTCAAGAGATGAAATATATGGACGCAGTAATAAATGAATCAATAAGAGTATTTCCACCAATACCTATGATTGGAAGGAAGCTAACAGGTGACATACAACTAGGTGAGACAGCCACTATATTATTGTTGGGTGGATTTAGAAGAGGACGAGGAGGGCACGCGCCTATCCGTCTGTCTGAAATCTTTTGAAGACAATGGTATTATATATGTAATCGTGAGACGTGCGCCCCCCTTTAGACGTATACGAGGGATGTCTTTTGAGTTTTGCATATAGAAACATAGTAGGCCGCGCGGATCGAACGTCAGTACTGAATCTTGACCTCGCTCTTTAGTAAACTTAAATTCAAAGTTTCACAAAACAGTGTTCTCATTACAGTGAATTTTTAAGTGTCACCAAGTCATTAGAAAAATGGAACTCAACCGAGAACATTTTCGCGCCATAATTTATTACAACTTTCAGAGACAATTATCGCAACAAGAATGTCTTGCTGAGTTACTGTCTGTTTTCGGCAACGATGCGCCACATCAGTCGACAATTTCCCGTTGGTATGGAGAATTCAAACGTGGACGGGTAAGTCTTAGCGACGATCCCAAAACCGGCAGTCACCCAGGAAAACGTCGATGCTCTGCGCAACCTCATCATTGAAGATAGACATGTGACATATCGCGAGATTGAGGCGTCCTTGTAGATCCCAAAGACCTCAATTCAAAAAAAATTACATGAATAATTAGGAGTAAGAAAATTAGTTTCTCGTTGGATACCCCACCTGTTGACTGAAGAGCAGAAAGCAGCCAGGGTTAATTGGTGTCAAAAAACGCTTGACCGTTTCAATTCCGGAAACCCAAAAAATGTGTACAGCATTGTTAGTAGTGATGAATCGTGGATTTACGATTATGAACCATAAAATAAACGACGGTCGGCTGTTTGGGTGTTCCAAGGTGAAGAAAAGCCAACAAAAGTCATCCGTTCTCGAAGTGTTTCGGAAAAGATGGTCGCGACATTTGTGTCAAAAGCGGGTCATATTGCAACAATTCCTCTTAATGAGCAAATAACTGTTAGTGCGGATTGGTATACCACCATTTGTTTGCCAAAAGTCATCACCGAGCTTCGAAAAATCAACCCCGAAAGAAGACTCATCCTCCACCAAGACAATGCAAGCTCGCACACAGCCCAAAAAACAAGGCAGTATTTAACGGAAGAAAACGTGGAATTACTAGACAACGAGTGGAATAAGTGCTTCGAAAATTGGTTCGAGCGCATGCAGATTGTATTAATCTTCGTGGAGAATACTTCGAAAAACAATAAAGTCATTTAAAAATACCTACCTGTTGTTTTATTTCCATATGCAAAACTTACAAGACATCCCTCGTACCACCCCTCGCTATTCAACTGTTGCAGGGACATTTGCTCTCAGAAGCGTCATCTCCCCGCTCTTCAATTTTTAATGGCCGCTACCCCCTGAGACAGACATCTTTCTACGAATATTGATGTTCTTCGGTTCCTCCCTTGACAGATATTTCACCCAATCAGCTTTCACTACGCAACAGTTTGATTATTACAACATTTGTCTAAGCATTTCAGTCAAACACCGTAACAACCACATTAACTTCGTTACTGCATTCGCCTATTTTAGTCAAACGCTGTAATCAATACAGTGTTGCTCCAATGAAGTACATAATATAACAAGGTACTACTTTATCAATAATATTAAAAGAAGAATAATCAAGCATGAAATAATTCAAAAGGAAAGAAGAATAGATTAAAATGTTGTCTTTATCAAGGAAAAGGAGAAAGCGTAAGAGAAGAAAAAGGAGAAGAGCAAAGAAAAACAGAAGTGTTTAGTTTAAGAGGAAACAGCTAGGCTTTTTGGCTTGGTACACGGATTAACTTTGAGGTTAACTAAACAAATTTTGATTCGGTTTTGTTAGAGTGCAGTTTTAAGTTTTCTAAAAGTGCGTGCTAATTTTTGATTACAGTGCGAGCCGTGGCTTTGAATGTTTACGAACTTGCTCCACTGAGTCGCCCAACAAATGCTGTGCGATTTTAATCAAGTGTTTATATACGAAATCGGGCAACAATGGATCCTGCTGTTGAGGAAGCATATCTACGTTATAATTTAGGTTAGGTTCACAAAATTATAAAAATTAACTTACCTCCTTTAATTCATTTGTATTCCATGGTTTTTTCTTATTCACACTGTCATGGTTTCTTGTAAAACAATTCTGAAGGCTGCGACATCTTTACAAACACAGAAAAGACGATGTGTATACTCAAGCAAATGATCACAACAATGGTACAATGAATGACTGGTTGTTACGGTGTTTGACTGAAATTATTCAGTCATTACAGGAAATAACTGAAATGCTTAGTCAAACTTTGTATTGATTAAACTGTTACGGTGTTTGCCAGCAATACGGGGACTGACTAGGCATTTCAGGGAATGACGGATTTCAGCGTTTGACGCCGACATATATACTGATCGTGCGGCACTCGCCTTGAAGTGGAGACTGACGTGACACATAACATCGTAACGTAAACATGTTACGCAGCAAGCTTTGGATGGTCAGTACAGCGTTTGGTCACAGCCTTCTTAAACTTAGTTTAAGAAGGCTGTGGTTTGGTTAACCTGTTAGAGTAAAGTCGGCATATATGGAATACCAATTATTCGTATAGCGGTAACATCAAAACTGAAGTGTTTGGAGCTGCAATATTTCATTAATAAATAGTTCTAAGTATCTCCAAAGAGTGGCAGGTGCTAAATTAAAAATTAAATCATATTCGATAATTTTACGAAAACATTTAAAAAAATGCATTTTTGTTGGAAAATAAAAAATGGAGGGTAATATGGAACGGGCATATCGGGTAATATGGAATAGACTTATTATACGCAAAAAACTTCACTAAAACCATTTAACTTCAGAACATCGGTATACTCGTATATATATAAGTATATCTAAGTATATCTAGAAATCGCAAAAATCGCAAACAAAAACATCTTTTTCTGCACTGGTACAAGCTTCGTGAGCCCAATTATAGCAGATTACGCATTGCACCCATATTTCTTTACTTCGGCTCGAGGAAAACTTTTCCAGGCAAAAAATACATGGGACATCTTCACCGGTTGGCTTTTTATTGTAGCAGCTTAATGGCAGATCTTCATCAGATGAGTCATCAACTACTGCTTCAGATTGTGAATCAGAAGAACTAGAGACATATTTTTTTGTGACTTTACGCTTTTTGTTTTTTAATCCACTAGGTCCAGGTTCATCGAAAACGTTTCGGATAACTTTTTGTTTTGAGAGATTAATTGATTGCTCTAATTCCTCCTTATTGGGCGTCGACGTAATTATTTTAGTACGCCCACATTTCCTTCCCCGAGTTGCCGGCTTCTTTGTTAGTTCTGGCACTGGAACTATATCACTAGGATAAACATTAGGCGAGTTATTTTGCTCGTTATGAGCACGTGTGTTATTGTTCGGCAAATTTTGATTTTCCTTTTGCATTTCGGCCGCAAACTCTTCTTCTGTAAAAATATTCCTTCTTAAAGGGTAGATCCCAGTGGCACTAAACCCTTTAACGGCTCTTTCCCCAGATTGCACTTTAAGAGGCGCTACCAAATAACTGGCAAATATCAAAATGCGTTACTGCACGTTTTTCCGTCCTCATGAAGATTCTCACTTCTTCGTTATAAAACGTCTTTAATGCACCCATGTCGGTCTTATCAAGGGGATGAAGTTTATGCGTCGTATGTGGTGGTAGGCATAAAATAGTAACATGATTGTCTTTAGCTTTGATAAGTACATCTAGATTTCTTGTATGAGTATGGTGGCCGTCTAATATCAGCAGTATTGGTTTTGTTGCTGAAGGTTTGGCTTTTTCTAGGAAATGGTCAAACCATTTTGTGAATAAGTCTGTTTGAATCCACCCGGATGGGTGAAAAGCAAACAGCGATCCTGGAGGTGCCCCCTTTTTTAGCTGGTCACTGGCTTTCTTGCGTGGAAAGATGATCATCGGAGGCACAAAATCACCTGCCGCACTCATACACATTACGATGGTTATAAGTGAACCTCTTTCTGCAGATGTGATAGCACCAACTTGTCGTTTGCCTCTAAGCGATACCACTTCTGAACATCTTGATTGCACAATGGACAACCCCGATTCATCTACGTTATATATTTGGTGAGGTCCATAATTTCGCTCCGCCATAGTCTTTTCTAATAAGTCGAAAAACTCGGTAATATTTTCCTTATTAAAACCAACGGCTCTTGCTAGGGAAGTTCCAGTGGGCTTTCGTAAACTTAGTGTATTCTTATGCCTGTGCATGAATGATGAAAACCAATCTTTTCCCGCAGATTCACGTAAAAGAGAGAATGGATGTGGTATATTGTTACGTTTAGCAAGTTGGAATGCTAAGGATCGAACATCCCTTCTTGTCAGACCAAAAAACTTCTGATCCATTATAAGTAAATATCGTACTAGTTCCTCTTTTAACTCGGCTGACAAAATTGGTCTTTTACCCAACTTCGTTTTACTAACAGTTGCTGGAGGCCCTTCAGTATTACAGAGGCGAACAAGTGTTGAGCGTGGAACTTTATATGCTCTTGCTGCGGCCAAATAACCCATATTTTGGTTTCTTACTGATCCAATGGCGTTTTCCATATCTTTCTCACTCCATTATATCTGAAAATAAAAAAACCTTACTTTATACTTAGCGGGTAATATGGGATAGCAATAGGGCGGATAATATGGAATATTCCATATTACACGCTACACAAAAAGTACACAAAACAAGTACTCTGTTTGTTATCATGAAAAATATCAAAGCAACTCGTTAAAATTTCTACCATATTATTCCTAAACCAACTTACCTTGTGCTTATCAACTTTATTTAAACAAAATGTAGTCACAAAACGATTTTAATTGACACCGTGCACAAACTTTAAACATGTGGAAACCATAACCTCAACTTTTTCGGCGTTGCTAGCGTCTAGCGGCAATTTTATTTCATGCCAACAGTCTACGATTTTAACAAGAATTCTAATGTCGTCATCACCTTAGAGATGGAGCCACCCGTTTTAAAATTATGGAAAATTCCATATAACCCGACTATTCCATATATGCCGACTTTACTCTACACCTGAAGATAGTTCATTAATGGTTTTAATCATTCGTTCATAATCACGTGTAAAATTCAATGCCTCTCATCCCACAGGAATATTAAGTACTTATATTGAAAAGTGACCTTATGTCGGTTTTTTGACTTTATATAGGTTTTTTGTGACATTATGTAGGTTTCTATACAATATGTCAACATAGAACTAGCTGGTGTTTGTAATTTATAACTTTGAACATAACTTCTATTCAGAAAGGAAAACACAAATAATCCGTCTCGAACAGCTGATAGATATATTTTATGGGCAGCATATTCATTAATAATTTTCTCACAAAGCAAATATCACTGGTTTTATACACATCTAGACCAATGCACAAAATCAACTCACAATCATCCAGATCCGTCTATAACTTGGAAATTACCTTTTGTCGGATTTTGATGAATATTCAACACAAGGTTACTACTCTGCCAAGATCGAAAAGGCTTTGTAATTTTTGAAAATTCATCGAGTTGCGTCAAGTTGGGAGCAAAAAACGAAAAAAAAAATCGGTCAAGATTCGTTTTTTGGTGTTTCCGATGCTCCTGATCATTTTCCGAAAAAAACTGTAGGTGTTACAAGTCAATTTTTTACGTTGGTATCTTTAAACGCTTCCAACCACGATGGTTCTACGTACCTATTAGACATATTTCATACATCATAGTTTTCCCCGTACGTTTGCCATAAAAACAATGATACAGAAATTTTTTCAACAGATTCGTATCTGGTGTATGTGGATCGCGGTACGGTCGATGGGTGTCTGTGTTACGCAGTCGATAGTCGCTGCCGTACTGCCATGGATAACGAATCTCAAGGTTTGTCATAGCAATGTTCATGGGCGCTCGCATGAATTTTTCTGAGGGAGAATGGGGGGACATTGTATGACAAGAGATACTTTTTTATGAAGGTGTAACTGTCTCCGTAACTTTTTTAAGATCGAATGTAGCACATTTTCTCAGGGGATAGGGGCAAACTATAAAAATTGTACATAAAATTATGCTAAATATATAAATTTCAATTGTAGCAGGCTGTTTGACTTCATACTTTCAATTAAACATGTTCATAGCTAGCTTTTTCTCAAAGTGGCTAATTTGTGCAGAACGTAACCACTTATGAACTGAAAGCAGCGCTGCGTGGAAAGTGTAGTCAACTTAACTGAGGTCATTTTTTTCAGATAATGGATTAACTTTACCAGACACCATGAGTGTTGTATGTGCACTCTATGCATTACATCATAACCCAAAATACTTTTCTGACCCGGAGAAATTTGATCCTGAGAGGTTTGTGAAAGACGAAATTTTACCTCATACTCATCTCCCTTTTAGCACAGGTCCGAGAAACTGTATAGGTATGAATTCACGTATCGTATATTATAAGAAATTGGAATAAGTACAGAAAATCTTTAAGTCAAAATTTCCATTTTCGTCGCCCGCAAGCGTATCTTGGGACCGAATTTGATGCCGTTTGAGAACTGTCATCTATGCTAGCGGCATAGGTTAAGGTTCCATAAGGGTTTATTGGCAAGTTTTTTAAATGCCGGGGCACCGCGACTGCTATAAAGAACTTAGAGGCCTTGTTAATCCGTTTTTTGAACTGCATAAGTTTAGCAGAACAGGGAAAAAGCTCCTCAGGTGTAATATTCCACAATCTCGATATCATGAGAACGAAGAAGCGGTCTTACCAGCCAGTTCAATATGTACGAAGTTCGATACAGATGAGAGGGGAAGCAGAAGCCTGGCGGGTCCGTTTGGCAAAGAGGCAAATCGTGGATTGCCCGGCGGTGAAGGGGCTCGAGATATCCGTTAAAGAGTGTCATTGATCAGTCGAACAGCATCGAGTATGGACAATGTAGCCAAGGCGATAGATCGTAGTTCCGACGCGGTGCAAATACCTTTCTTTATCGTATCTTCTTTTGAATTATGGGGTGCGACCTTCAGGAGAGCTCGATTCAGACGTTCCTTATCCCAGCTAGCACAAGCACGTCAAAATGACGTGATTGGTCCAAATATCGACGTCGTAATGATATCTACTAAATGTTCGGCTGTGTACATGTATTGCAAGACGTTGTTATTACTTGTTTTTGAGATTATATTTTTTGAATCATAAATATTTGTATTATAATATATATGATGTTTTTGTTAATTTAGAATCAATCTCTCTGAATCAAAACGGATCAATTCAGCGCGAGAGAAATAATAATTTCATTCCATCTCTCATCGAATTTCACTCAAAGCAAGTCAAAATTATCTGCAATGACAAAATACATATTAAGGTGTTGCAAAATATTACAGTATATTTCTCTTTTCTATCTCTAGCGTACCCCGTTTCCATAAATAATATTTAATAATTTTCAAGAATAGCTGTGTGCAAATGGACAAAACAATGACCGTTTGTGACAATGCTTTTACGTTTAATTTTGCAACGCTACATCGGGTGACAAGTGACAGTGAACCGCAATCGCGGATCGCTGCAATCGACTATGGGTAAAGACAAACAGAGCTGTTTTGACCGACGCGTTTATCGAATTGGTGCCCGAGTCGTATGCTGTATAACATATCATTCGTAGTACAAAATACACACAGCGGTACGACGCGTTTCGTTTCATGCGGCGGTTTTAAAACAGCTTCGGTTTGTAATTGATCTGAGGAATCGAGTCGGTTTAATTCAAGTGGCGCGTTGAGTCTTTCAGCGTCATTAAATTACTCTGTTCACACACGTACGTGCCTTGTCTCGTTTTGTATAAAAATGGAAGCACACAAAATTGATATTGAAAAGCTAATTAGCGAAGTAGAGAACCAACCGCCACTTTTGGATATGAGGAAAAAGGAATACAGCGATAGGGTTATGAGAAGAAAATGTTGGGAGGAACTAGTAAATTTGTTTGCAAAAGAAAACTGCACAATTGACGAAAATAAGCAGTTAGGTAGGTATAATAATTGCTTATAATAAGAACAATTTTTTTATTGGCTATCTTTATTATTTAAACGGTTGTTTGTTTTACAAAATATTGAGCGTATTTATCTCTAGCAGATAATGCTAATGGATTTCCTCTGTGGGTTGTATCTGGTGCTGACCTTCAAGATTGATATTTTCATCTAACTTCTCGTCATTCGACCGAATGCCATCCCTTGTCCTTATAAAATTATGTAACACACAAGCAGCTTTAACTCCAGTTACAGTTACATCAATATCGAGGTCAATAGGTCGATGAAATATACGCCATTTGTTGGCTAGAATACCAAAACAGCATTCGATATATCTTCTGGCTCGTGTTAGTCTAGCATTGAAAGTTTCTTTTAAAGGTGTCAGTTGTTAACTCCAAAAGGCCTAAGCAAATTTTCGGATAAGGGGAATGCTTCATCGCCAACTATTATGAAAGGATATTTTTCATTCGTATCGTCAATAGCACATGGTGCAGGGACTGCCAATGTACCATCAACTAATCGTTCATAAAGTTTAGAATTTCTGAATATGCCAGCATCACTTGATTTACCATATGATCCCACTTCAATATACGTGAAGCAAAAATTGGCATCGCACATCGCAAACAGTACCGTAGAATATTACTGTTTATAATTGTAGTACATAGACCCACTATTGGGTGGCTGCTTAGTCCGAATATGTTTCCCGGCTGCTAATTCAATCCATATTGCTTCGCATACTTCTTGGATAATGTTACTAGCAGTAGATCTACCAATACGAAAATTATAATGTAATTCGGACAAAGAGCAGCCCGTAGCCAAATATCTAAAATGAAAAAATGCAGTTAATTAAAACGTAATGTACGTAATTCTATTTTGTTACAGGTAATGAATTGCATAAAAAGTGGAAAAATATCCGAGACAACTTTTCAAGAGATATTCATCAAAGGAAAGGAAAGTCAGGGGCTGGAGCTTATCGGAAAGCTCCTTACGTTTATACACAGAGGTTACAATTTCAATTTCTCACAAATATAATACTGCCCAGACAAACCACCAGTTCATTGGATAATGAATATTCATCCGAATTAGATACAAATAACCCTGAAACGCCCACTTTAATCTATAAAGAAAAGTATAATTCTAAAATTGACAAAAAAAGGACACACCCGGTCGAAGAAAAAATATTACATTCACTTGAAAATTACGAAAAAAGAGCAAACAAGACGATGACTGAAGATGACAATTACCACTTTGCACTTTCCTTAGTACCTTCACTTATTGCACTGCCAAGACATTTAAATACAAAATGCAGGATTGAAATAATGCAGACTATTTCGAAATATGCAACCAGGACCGAAGCAAATCAGACATCAGATACACCACCACCTCCACATCAGCAAACGTCTTCCATAACCCATTATCCCAGTCAGTCAGGACTTGTACAACATCCACAAGAGCAGTATGGAGTATCTCAGAATGCCGCTTAACAACAGATAATCTCAACACTACCTCCAGCTCCTTCACCAGCTGAATCAGTTAGAAGCTATTATTCCCACTTTTCGGAAGACGATTCCCAGTTTAGTATATTTAATATGAATTGAATAAATATACTCTTATAATGTATGAAAGATTGTGGAATAAATTTTTAATAAAATGAGAAACAGTTACCTAATTTATTTGCTTACCGGATAGTTATTACTAGTTTTTCTTCTGGGTTATCGCATTTCTCATACGTGTATCTTTCTTTGCTAGTTTTTCTCCACAAACTGCTAATAACTTTTAAAAAGTACTTCGCGACATCCTAGTAAAGTTGAAAAACTTTTCTTCATCTCTTTGTACTTCAGCAAACAATGTATGAAAATGACCTTTTCGTTGCCTTTCTTCGATGATTGGATGTATCCACATTCTTCTATTCCTTTTTTTTTACTAATTTTCCAATACAAATACAGTAGCGATAAATAAAATACGTCATCCATTCTGCAAATCGAATGGATCACTGCATAAACCGCTGAAGAAACAGCTCAGTGTGGATTACTAGAACCCGGCCGATTCGATTAACGCGTCGGTCAAAACAGCTCTGTTTGTCTTTACCCTTATTTCTTCCCACTTCAGCCATTTGTAACCGGTATCCGCATCTCGTTGCTCCAACTTCCACATACTGAGTATTCCCAAAACTATTTTGAACATATTGTCAGGCTAACCCGACTGTAATTCTCTAGTATGTTGTGAATAATACCATGTGTGTTACTTGTAGTATTACACATACTTCGTATAAACTGTCAAAGTGAGGGATGAGGTAAGTAATAAGTAAGACTTTCATAGTTAGGTAAGCAGCAGCAAGCCAGTGTTACGGTGCTCCGTCTGTGTATAAAATACAATATAAGATTTTTTGAAGAAGCTTGAACTGGTTCACGTCCAGCAAGTGACGATTATTGACGTCTGCCATATGATGTTATCGGTATGTGACATTAGGAAGTAATTTTCACGTTGCTTTTTCGTCATTTAACTCGTCATTTGATGACCAGTTTGTAAGTCATTGTGACGTGCTTGTGCTATCTGGGATATTGCAGAGAAAAACTTGGTCGGTGTATATGGCCGTGGCCGAACAAAATACAGGTAACAGCTTCGTTTTCGGTGTGAGAATTAAATAACGGGGGTCGCGTAACCTATTGTTGCGGTAGGTACGAAATTTCCAAAATAGCTGATGCCGCGTCGTGGCAGAACCATATTCAGTGCATAATGCGCGCAAATTCGATGTTTCACGGAAATCTGTCATCTGTGGTGTTACATTGGAACTGGGAACAGTTGCATAGAACAGGCAGCCTGGTATTTGAGAGGCGTAGAATCGGCTTTGCATATGTGGGGCGGGGCTTAAAACAACTGGAGGTCCCTGAATATACATGGTATTTGGGGGCGGGGCTGGAGCAAAAGGAGTTTCGAAAACTGGCTTATAGTCGAAATCACGAAAGATGACGATTACGTCATCATTTTAATATGTAGTAAAGACAAACGACAGCGATTTGTGAATATTTTTAATGAAGTTTCAGATATGTTAGACAGAGACAAACAGAATTTTATTGTCTAAATAAACTGTATTGCTAATTTGCAGGTATCCGACAAAGATAGACGATGTTTTCATGTTGCATGATCGATCATATTAGAAAGATGAATAGTTAGGGTATGTTAAAGCAGGTTAGGTTGTTTTCGAATAATACTTTGGTCTTTGGTGTTCCTGTCTCAAGATATTCTATACATAACTGTTTTTTTTTCAAAACAAAAACTCCCCACTAAAATTATTATTAAGGTATCACTCAAAACCTTGAAATAAAATGAAAATAAAAATAATCAGTGAAATAACAAATATAAATTTGTTGTCGTTATGTTAGTGACATCGTGATTTGATCATCGACGTGCGTCCATTGACTACTTCAGTACAATTTATGGTATGACGTAATAGTCATCTTTCGTGATTTTGTCTATATATACCCTAATCTTATGCCTGAGGGATGCTTCCAGTATAGAGTAGGGAGCCCATGGGATCGACGGCATACGGGGGAGGGGGATGGTCGTCCATGGTGGACTGCAAAGATATGGGCCGTCTAAGTCCTATCCTAGCACCCCGTAAACGGAGGAAGGCTAACCTTTGAGAAGTCCCATTCGATCTGCTTGGCCAGCGCCCGGAAAGACCAGCTCCCATTGGACTGCAACATTACCCTGCGCCTTATTTTTACATCGAGCTGGTCTTTGGCATTACGGATAACTTCGTTAGACATATTTGTTTTAGATTCCCTGATCACATTCATTCAATTTTTGTTTTTTGATAAGTCAGGTCTGTATATTTTCAGATTTTCTTATGTTTTCCTATTTTACCACTTGATTGTCCTTTTTTCATTTTTGTGTAAACTACATCCGTTTTGGCATATTTGATATACTATTTTCATATGTGCGCATGGTCGCAACACGGAATTTATATTGGTCAAGATTATTCCTGTGTACGCAGTTTTCCTTTTTCAGGGAAGAAATTTGCAATCTTGCAAATAAAAAGCTGCATTTCGAAGATCGTCAGACACTTCAAACTGTTACCATCAGTTCCAGAATACGACCCAGAGTTAGTATGCCAGATAACCTTGGCTTCACAAAACGGAATCAGGATTTCCTTACAGAAAAGGAACAGATAATTGTTTATTACGTTCTACGAGGTAGCCTTTCAGCATAATTTCAATATTGGCGTTCATTAGAACATATCGCTACTAGAGGCTCAAGCTGGGTCAAATCGTTCCATGGTTGCAATTCCGGTCTCGGAATCGGTATTTCGATTCCGGCTCCGGAATCGATTCCTTCCATTCGTTTTCGATCCCAATTAACTGCAATTGCAACGGAACGAAATCAATGCAACACAGCCGGCTGTGATGTAGTGCGTTACCTTTATCTAGAACTCCGAGGCAGACGCAATGCTGGATGGTATGATTTTGATACCATTGGGAATCGAGCTTACCGTAATGATAAAAAAGCCTGCCATGTTTTCTATAAATGTCTATTATAAATTTGCTTCTATTCCTCTAAATCTGTGTTTCTGGGTAATCAGAATTGTTTAGTGCAACACTGCGAACAGCACAGGAAGACAGATTTGGTAATTACGGATAACCTGCCTTCTACCATTTTTAAAAGACAAAAACTTAACAGATATACATAAGTTTTCGTGGTGTCTAGGTCAAAATATTAAAAAAAAGCATACGAAACTCAAAAGGTTGCATTTGTATAAGTAGTTTTTGAGTGAAATTTGCTCATTAAAGATATGGTGTTTCAAAAACCTCCTCACACTGAATGTGACAAACTGTAAAGTAGTCACATATTGTAGGAAACAAAATGCTTTATGATGATTACATTATTAATAAGGTAAGGTTAGAAAGGAGTAACAGTTATAAAGACCTAGGAGTTACATTTGATGCAAAGTTTACTTTTAATGCTCACATAAATAACCTTGATCGTCTGCTCCCCGAATGCTAGAGTACCTACTGTGTTAGAAAAATGGTTAGAAACTAGTCAGGTTTCTCGAATGTTGAAATAATCAAGCTTTTATATCTAAAATGCGTAAGAAACAAGCCTAAATTATCTTATCTGGGCATCTATTTATTAAAGCTATTAGCAGATTGATATCTATTCAATGAAGAACAGTAAATCATATATTTTTTAACGCAGTTGTTTATATCCACAAAGAGGCTTCCGCCATAATGTATTACTCGAAACTTTCGATACCAAACCGCTTGAAGTGCACCGAAATAAAACTACAATGTAATAAGTGAGTGAATACAACGATCGTCGATCAACCAATTCATATTTGTGTGCAAGAGCGAGTAGCAGCTTTGTTAGTGTAATTTCCCTTAGGGACGTTTCGTACGGTATTGTGACGGAAAGCCAAAAATCGTGAAAAGAACTATTACAATTGAACTAACTGGTAGCTGAAATATATACGTATTAAGAATACCCTAATCTGTTTCAACAGACGAATTGCTGAAAGTTATGTGATATTGTACTGCTTCGGTCTTTTTGGGCCGAAAGCGGAATTTGTAGCCGAAGGCCGGTCCCTATAAAACCACCTGCTATTTATCTAGCAGTGGTGGGTTCTGGCACCTGTGCTGTCGTATTCCGGTGCAAAAACCGTGTTGAGGTGTACATACAGGGTGACTTTGAAGTTGAGTCATTAATTTTCAGATAATGATTGTAGAAGGGAGATAAACCAAAATATGTGTGTAAAAATAAAAAAAAATGTTACCTTGTTTTATAAAGTATCCTCCCGACAAGTACTTCAGTGCGGACCTGTATTTGATCGTGTGGTCTTGGAGCACCGGCATGCCCTCCCCTGTGAGGTTTTAAGTCACCTGATTCACGAGCCCTTTGTACTACATTAACAAAGGCACGAGGGGTTGGTTGCACACGATTGGGAAACCGATCCGCATAAATCCGTGATGCCGCAGCAGCATTTTTTAAAGACTCCCCCCCACCGTAAATAAGAATCATGTCCACAAGTTCAGCATTTTCGTAAACATGTGCCATTTTTTATTTCGTTTGAGCCACGCAACAAACACCACTATTCACTCACGCGTTACCGACTGACACATTGACTGAATACAACTGAATGAAATTGTAGTAAAAACATCGTGATAAGCGTTTCAAATTCTTTCGTTTTTTTGTTTCCGATGCGATGAACCGATAAGGCGGATTATATCCGTTGTTGCCAAACACGAGCACATAATATTATTATTGAGACAGGGCGGTACTCAAACTTCTAAAGGGCTATAACTTTGTTACTTTAATTTTACAACAAAAATGTTAAAGGAAAAACATTTCCTTTGATCAGATCTCCTCACTGTTAAAATAAATGACTCAACTTCGAAGTCACCCTGTATAAACGTAGTAATGTCATTGCCAGAGTGATTGCTTGAGTAGCGCTATATTCTGCGGCTAATGTAGATATGAGATAAACTGTCATATACTTTTTTTATTTATAGCCATATATTGTTAAAGTAAAGAAATAAGGGTTATTATATGCATCGTTGCTTTATATTTTATTTCAAATGATCCAATGACAAGTTGTGCATAATTACATTATGGTCAATCAATGATTATTATATTCAAAAATTACATAAGATAACATTCAACAATTATTAGTATAATGCTAGTTAACACCTAATACAAATATACTTCATTTACATTTATGTCTTTACTGGTCATTTCCTACTTCCTCCCGACGATCATATACAGTGTATCTATATATAAATAAGCACTCTAAAAAATGGAAACTGGACGTAAACGCACCTTTCGACTATACATTTACTACGTGTTGTCATATTACTGCATATTAGCACTATTATGGAGAATCTTTACTACTAAATTATCATCATCCCAAACATCTAGAGTACGTGACCTTAAACAAAAAAAAGAGGAACGATCTACATATTTAATTTTACGCTTATAAGTTGCTTCTTAACTTAACCTCCAAATGTATTTTGACGAGTAAATTTACAATATGTGGTAATTTGTCAATAAGGCGAATGGTCTTACATCGTGTTAGTTACTCAGGTTTGTAACGATAAATTTAAATTGCCATCGCCGTGCTTTTGCAAACGCTTTAGTCAAATACCTCGCAAACCATTAACCTTACGCAAAAAGTAATGTACAAGAATTAAATTCTTTATCGCTTTGATCATATAAAATTTTACCGTACAATCAACAGTTTACGAGAAACTGAACTTCAAACTTACATAATTACTTCGTTCAAAATTGCGAGTAACCAAAAATTGTAGAATTGTATTACTTTTTACTGTGGAAGTTGTACAGCAAATTATACCATTTCATCACGCCCATGCTTTTGTCGATCTAACAATTTAGATTTTGATACGTGAGTTTGGGTGACAACTCGTGAGTTCACGTGCATGACGTAACCATGTTTTTCCGCCTATAACAACAAAATGATGTTGTTTGTGCAGTTAATAGCCCACATTTACAAAATGTGCAATCGACATAAATAATCATGGCAATTTCCAATTTTTAGAAAAAAATCTATTATACTTAGGTCAATGTGCAAGATAATATACAGGTGCATATAACAAGCGTAAATAACACTGTACATGGTTCATAGATATTCCTACATATCTTCCATAACCCTAATCCCTAAATACTGTGCCTAATTTCTCAAAAAACGTAACAAGGTTCATACAATAGTTAGAAGTATGTCGTTGCTGAATATGGGTATTAAAGCATATATATATATATAGGTATACGAGAATCACAAAAATATGATATGAATGAAGAAAATCAACAGGTGATATCTTTCGATGGAAATTTTATCTATCTACTCTCTATTACACATCAGATACTAACTTTTTTTATATCTAGTGGGCCAAGCATTAGATTATTATTCCAAAAAGACGATTTTAAATGAGTGAAAGAAATAACAAATAGAATGTGTTCTATTACCTCCTTGGAAGCTTTTAAAGCCTGGCGTAGACACTCATGCTACTCGTACGTTTTACTTGTACAGTCTCAAATCGTCATGCAGTGTTCCTCTATTCGCCTCTGTCAGTCAGAGCGGTCCGTAGGACCTTTACTCTTGGTTACAGCATTGTAAGTCACTAGGTCTTTCAGGTCTGGTTGTTCAGATGGCAGACAAAGTCGGGGAGAAAGAAGGGAAGATAAAAAGAAATAAAGGAGGGACAGCAAAGAGGAGAAAGTGCGGCAGTTTGAGGGCCGCCTTGGCATTGTTAGCTAATAGCAAGATGCAGTGTGTGTGTGTGTGTGTGTGTTTGGTATCAAATCGTCCATTTTCCTTGTCACGTTCAATAATTTGGCATCAGTAAAATCAAGGTTCATTTTTGCCCGTGTACCAGCTTGCTTGGGGATGCAAGCTTGACAAGACGTCGGATACCACAAACACTACAAACTACATTTTGCATCACGGCTTACTTGAAATTAAAACGTATGAATATCTACTCCAGCCTTAATGTCCGGTTTGGCGTTTACCAAATAGGTTTGTGAATACATCCATTTTTGGCAAAATAATAAGTTCCTCTGTTCTTCATATCATGAAATCTTCCATCACAAAGTGAACCTTGTCTTTAGACATTGGTCTGATAGATGATAAGAAGAATATGCACATTTTCTCCAGATAACATTTTGTGGCATTAATGGCACTAGTAAACTGACAGCCTACTTGCATGCTTAGCAAAATTTCAGTTATTTCATTAGTTGCGCCACCTATACGTTCCGCGGGTAAAACCGCTAGTTTAGAATAAATCCATGGATTTCTACATAAATTGCGTTCACGGTCAAATTTCAAATCTATAAAACAGGAATTTTACGTCAAATCCATGATCTTCGTGTATTTCTTCGCGCAATCAGAACGTGTTCTAATATTTGCCAAGTCTAACATTTAATTTCATGGTTTCAACCTTGTTCTCCTTTCCATTATGATGAAAATCTTAAAGTATAAAACCATGACAGGACTACAGTGTTCAACAATGGTTTCTGTTGACGAGATTCTCGTCAATTAAAACCACAATATACACAAAATTCGAACTGTTTCTAGCAAGAATTTTTTGAGTGGTTTCCAGCGCTGTGTACTGTCTGATAATTCATTAAATTGTTCATCATTGTAAGCAGTGTAAATCAGTGCCAGGGTGACAATGAAGAAATCGATCTGAATGAAGTGAAGAAATTATTGATGTAAAACGTGTAAAAAAGACCGTCACATAACGTCATATATGCACAAAGTATTACCAATTTGCTAATTTTACAGCATTAGTGAAAATATCTACTGCTTGGCCATTACTTGCAATATTTTTACACTGCGGGTAAGTTTTAGTAGGCATTAGGTTTGTCAGTCAGGCACCTTGCTAAGCATAAATTCGTCATATTTATTATTTAATGACCTGTATTTTCAGTTTTAATATTTTATGTTAATACGAGATACCATATATGCAGGTTACTTCAATATTTTAGTTTTCAATCTGTTCCTTTCAACAATGAAGTTCCGAACAGCCCCAAAGGTCATTTGCAGTGGCACAAAACAGTTCAGTGCGTAGCTATGTAACATCACAGCATTAATTTTTATGGGCGACTGTAGTCTTTGAATTACAAATTCCTTGTTGGAAAGAACCGAATGTTGTCCTGAAGAAATGGTACATTTTCCAAGTTCTAGTTCACATCGTTCTTAAGGCTGTTCAACACACCGCCGCGAGCATGAGTGCCACAACTGTTCCTTCTTTTCCCTTTTATCATCGTTGTAGCTTTTCAGTCTATTTTAACGTCCAGTACAATTGAACTGACGTGTCTAAAGTTGCATGCCCACTGAAGCGAAGCAACGCGGAGAGAACCGGGTAATATTTATCATTTGAAAATATCAAACAAGATTCCCGTGCGTGGGCTTTCATTTTAACATGAGGACGCGCGTCTGAGATCGTACTAATAGACAAATTGACAGTAGAGTTTTTAGTGTGACAAAAATAACGAATCGTTAAGCCTTCCGCTATGTTATTTTTGACAGCGACAGCAAATAAGGTTTGTTGGTATAAACAATAGTTTTTATGATCACCAAAGTGAACCGTAGTAATTTGACATTCGTTTAGAACATCGACTATTTATTGCATTCATTTTTCTAAAGCTCATATTCCTAGCATATTTTAACCAATGTTTTTATAGTCTGGAATTATTTTAAATCTCAAAGAGCTCTACAGATTCCGGCCACAGCGCTCAATACGACAAACATAACATTACGAAATAAGACCTCCTTATTCTCCGTAACTAACCGGACTTCTTATTTTGATAACGGATAACGAAGGTTTGTCCTGCCACTGCGCAAAATCCAAATAAGGAAGGTCATAACGAAGTAGCAAAATAAGAACTCTAAAAACTCTCTGGTAGCTGATAAGACCGTGTTCCCCAACTACCCATTCAATTAGAGCAGATTTTGCTGTTCGAAATTCTTAGCTATTATGCATTATTTCAAAAAATGTAGTGACATAAACATCACATTTATATTGACGACTTACCTTCTCAAGTATTGCACAAGTTGATTGATTTTAATTTAGCAAAATACGAATATATTGTCCTCGATGAAAGCGGGTAATATACAATATCTTACAACTACTTACACATCTTTTTTATAACAATTATGTACACAAAATGGAAGAATCTTAACAATCCTAGGCTAAGAACTTACAATGAACTCAGGTGAAAAAATGAAACAAAAATAAATAAAAATAAATGTATTTACTTACAGAAAATATTTACATGAATCTAATATGATACAGCAAATAAACAAAAAAACATACAAATATAAACAATTCGTATAGTCTAAAAACGTATCTACCAATCTAATATAAATACTGCATTTCTCGAACCGTAAACATTTTGATACAACCAACAGTTAACCTAAAACAACTTGTATAAAGACAAACAGGTGAAACATAAACAAACTTTACTGGGAAAATGTAGCAGTCGAAATAAGCGAAATATCTCTGCCAAATAACTAGCCCAGTGATAGATCATAAGAAAAAACTCAAATCAAAGGCATGGAAGTGTGTAAAAAATAACAAAAGACCCTTATTGATTTCTACGCTGAGACAGCTGAATATGCGTATTTGATTAGCAAATAATAGCTGTTTATTTTTGCAGAAATATCTTGCTCTATGAGAGATGGCTGCATTGCTACTTTGCTCCTTAATTTGCCAAAAGACTTTATACTGTTTAACATATTAATCAAATAACAAAAAGAAAATTAATTATTTAGCTAGCGACTTGGGAGTCAAGAAGCAAAAGTGCCTTTTGTGACATTTCATATTCTATAAAATTAAAATTGTAATTCGAAAATGCTGCTGATAATAATACACAAAAAATTATTGTTTTTCACAGACACCAAGAAAACTGAAAAACATGTATTACAACAATTAGGCACGAGGAGGTAGATAAACGAAATATGCTGATTGAGAAGATTTAGATTTAGAAATGTTTTTAAATTGCTCTTAATAGCCTTGGAAAATAATGGTTCGAATATAGAAATAGGTTAAAACATAACTAGTTCTATCCCATTATGCAGAGTAATCTCTGTCATTTTCTGCTTTTAGTGTCTTCACAAATGTTGTAAAGTATATAACACAATTTTATTTATTCAACCAACAAGAAAACTGTTGATAGTGAATTTCGATAAAATCTAGCAATGACATTTATTGCGCAAGTATTATATAACATTGAGTATTGCCTTGAAATAAATCGCTGGCCGTAACTGCAAGCACGGGAGCATGCTAAGCAACAAGAAAACGTACTATGTTTAGCAACTAATGGCCATACAAAATCTACTGATCACTTCCAAAATAAATATATATCTAGGTATTAGCGCATCTTGACTGGGATCTTATTTTCGTACTTTAAAACATCCACATCGCTAACCGTATATGACATCACTAACGGTTCCAAAGCATATGATGATATTAGCTTAGCGACTTGAAAATGCGTGTTTTGAACAATGAGAGTATGTTTCGATATTATTTTTTATGTATTCAGTTTAAATATTTGCTATTATGGTATACTATACTTACTAAGGTGTTCTTATAGCTAAAAAGCACTTGACGATATTTTTAGAAGCACCTCTTGGGTTGTAACCATCTAAAGATTCAAATTTTCTCATTACGTAGCATCTCCTATATGATATGTGAAGAGGTACATCTAAAATAGATTTTTTCGATAGTCGCTATATATTCAAGAAAGGATCTTCCATTCAACTAACTATATCAGGTATTTTTTGCACAACTACAAATAAATATATCTCTAAAACGCCGGATAGTTTATCAGGCAATATGGTACGTTTATTCAGAGTACATTGGTTAAAGCAAAGTATACAGACCCGAGCAGTAGAATCACTTTGCAGTCAAACAACAATTCTGAAAAACTGTCAACCGCTGAAAACGTATTGTTTCTGGCAAGAATACCGGTAGCGTTTGAGAAGTACGGACATGAAGATGTTTTGCCAGTGATTATACTTCTCATGAGTATGTACATACTTTGTTTAATTGTAACCGCTTTAGCTACTCAAAGAATAAATGCTCAACTGAACAAGATACACGTATAAGATACTCAGAGGCTATTTTTTTTATCAGAAGCTTTGCAGAAAACAAAAAATCCAAAAAAGCTTGGAGAATATGTATTCAAAAATATAAAGCTTTGTAAAATTGAAGCACGAACACTCAAAACTGAGACATCTCATTTCCTTTTATGGGGCATGGAATGGAATCCACTCCTAAACTTGCGATTGGTTTGGAAATCCAATAAAGTCAATAACCATTTTCCACATTTTTTCGGCAGCTAAACCTCTCAAATATCCCTCAAAAGTGTCGCTTGTAATATTTTATCTCCTGACTGACGATGAATGATGTCAAATGTGTCAGTTATCATTGAAATTTTCCTAGTTATTTGGAAGCTGGACACCATACACAGAGATTTCCAGAGATATAACAGCTGACGAAAAATATCCAAACATTATGATTGATCATTTAAGGGACATCTTAAACGAAAGCTGAAAACATGTTAGCGTGAGTCTTTCAGGTAAATGGCATTCCTGGCGACTGATTCTAACTGAATTTCAACGTCGCCGTCGTCACACAGATAATAGAAAATAATAAAGAGTAAACCCCTGATGACTCCGAAAAAGCCGTGATAATTTTGATATAGGAATCAGTTTGAACAGGAGTCAAAATTATCATGTATGATGGCAATAAGACGCTAAAACTAATTCCAATATAGGCCTCTACAGAGCTAATTATATGAACAAAAAACTTTTCTGTTCTTTACATCCAAGAATAGTTTTCGGGTATTGTTTGCTTTGATTATGGCATGATGGAGCGAAAATAGGGGCGAAATGAGGCGTTCCTTATATCAAGTCTCGGTATCATCCTATTCGCAAACATGATATCTATAGCAACCGCCCTAACCGTGCAGTCCTCAAATTCTCGACTACTTTTTGAAAATCCCTATACCAACATTATCACTTCTCTTTATGTTCTTTTCCAGTCGAGCATTTGTGAATCACATCTCACCCTATCACTGATTCTTCGTCTCAACCTTACTCAAACTAATAGCCAGTGCCAATTCTGCATCTTCCTGCATCTGTCTCTTTTTCCTATCAGCCTCCAACTTAAGACTTTCCCTGGCAGCCCAAGCGAGCTGTTGGTCCTCACTTAGTGACGTCACTGGTGCGGAAGCCCTTCCACTGTTCACAAAGGGATCGGTGGAGGGCAACGGCACCGATTGTCTACCGTCCAACCCGAAAGGATCGAATTTATCTTTACCGAAGAGGTCCTCGCTGCTGAAATATGACTCGTCCTTGGACGTCGGAGGTTCCGGATCGTCGTCGAATTGTATGTTGGAAATATCATCGTAGCGATAGTCCCGGAAAGGGTCGTCGGTGAAGTCCAGATGCGGGTGAGATTGAGCGGTTTTGCTGGTGGTTGTGGTGAATGAAGAAGATTTTGGTTCGGCGAACTGAAGAAGTAACACGTGCGATTTTACTACTGTAAAGGTTAGTGAAAGAAATGCCGGGTTAGTGTGTAGTCCGACGCACCTGCTTGGAAATATATCATTTTTATTTTCTTTGATTAACGTAGTCCTCGAAAAGATGCCAATGCATTGAACATTTTAATCCAAATCTGCACAATACAAATTTTTGCCATCATATACCGGGGGTTTCAAATTCTATCACCATTGGGATCTCGGAAACGGTAAGAGATATGAAGTCGGTTAAATGGTGGCAACGTTGCGGATTAAGGTAACTAAGGCCCGGTGTTTCAATCGCAGATTAACTTTCTGGTTAGTTAACTATAATCAGGAAGCTAACTTGTAGTTGCCTACAAAAGCGTTTTTCAAGTATTTTGACAGCGCCAGCTCATCCACCAGAAGTTCGTCATATATTTATGTTGAAGCCCTGCATCTGGAGATCTTAGATACCGTGTACTGTGCGCTCGGCGCCTGTGTCATGTGTCATAACCTCATACCCGTCATATGTGACAGCGCGTCTTTTGTTTAATTAAATTTTATAAAATAGTCGAAATTTGAATAAAACCTTCGTCAAGCAAGGTACGGTTTTTCACACATTGCTGTACAAATGTTTAGTAGTAGACCCTATAGACGGGACAAATGCAATGTCTAATCAGCCTTAGATAGATCAAAGCATACGCTAAAAATACAATTAGGTTTGTAAATATCTGTTAAACATCGTGTTTGCCAACTTTTTAGCATCACTTCTATCATCCACGACCCAAAAATAAAGGTCTTCGGCAGCGGAGAAAAAAATACGGCTATTCCTGTTGCTAAAATTTTTCAAAAACTGTTCTAGCATGGTGAAAAAGAACATCAAAAAAGGAGCTCAGCATTTCTCAAAAGATAAGGATAAGTATTATTGGCCAGTAAAAATCGCAAGCATAATAGAGAGCAAAAAGAGTGACATGGTTTCCTGGAAAGCGAAAAGTTCTGATTCTACTGTCCTTTGTGCAACACATTCACGTCGTAATCCATTCAGATTTATCGATAAACTAATATGAATTTGTAAATGTTTGAATAAACGCCAAAGTCTATGTAAACAAACGTGATCTATTGCTATTTAACTACAGCCGTTCTAGTTAACTCATAGATTGTCATTTGGTTAAAGTTAACTAGCGTTTTACAATAAACATTATATTGAAAAACGCTGTTTAATAACTATAAGCCTAAGATAAAGCTCGTAGTTAACCTGCGACTGAAAAACTGGGCCTGAGAAAATGGTACAGAACGAGTACGAGGTCAAGAATTATAACGGGAACATTGTTCTAAGCGCATGGGAGCCCCACTTTTGCCAGATTTGCTTGTCAGATGGTGGTGCAAATGATTTACCTGGAGGGTATCTATAAAACCAAGCAGCAAGCTCTCCAGGCCTGTTGAAATATGTGAGAAATAATCTAGAATGTAAAATCAACCGGATTTCTCATTCTAGATATCATTTAAGAGAATATGTGCCCTAGAATATCTTGCGTGAGCCCATACATACACCGGGCGTTTCGGGTTTCACCCCCACAGTTGGGATCTCTGAGGCGGTCGGAGCGGGGTTGCGTATTTGATATGGTGCTGCTTGGAGGGGTTCAGAAAGCTTACGGAGAAAGGCGACTTGATTGCCTGACGTCCTGACTTGATTCCTAGTAAGATTTCGGGATGGGTATTGCCATTTTTTTTACTCTACAGGATGGTATGGTTAGAGTTTCAGTATGACGTTTCGTCTCATGTCCTCCAGCATCAACTTAGTTTTTTCTTAAGGACACCTTATTGAATTGCTGCACTGGAGAGTACAGGTTTTGATTCTGATTCCAAAAATGCATAGTGTGTCATTGCCGGACTTTATTTATTTAAAAAAAGCCAGAGTTTCCTGGGTAGGTCTTCAAATTGTCAGATAGCCATTTGTTTCATGTTGTTGCTCTTGATATTACAAAAGCGTTCGATTAGCTGTAGCATGCTGCCCTCTTATGTAAACTTCCATCCTATGACGTAAGCTAAGCTTTGCAGATGGGTGGTTGACTTTCTCTTTAGTCCCAAGATATCAGTCGTACTTGACGGTTTCTCCCCTTCATCCAACAACGTCAACGCGGGTGTTCCACAGGAATCGGTCTTGGCTCCGACATTGTTCATATCGACGACCTTCTTTCCTATACGATCAATCCAATCCGCAGCTTTGCTGATGACAGCACTCTACATGCAGAAATCCAGAGTGACAAACCGATCTCTGCCGGTGAGCTGGAGAAACTAGCAGCGAAAATTTTGTACAGTTTCATGCTTCCAAAACACGAACAAATCCGGTTTGGATGGATGGCCGAGTTACGATCGGAGTCGAGATCACCGAGGACTTGATCTGGCTCGAACACATCTCGTCAAGAGGGGTAGCTGCTGGTTGATTAGAGCTAAGAAGAACTTTAAACCGCGTGACCTCCTCACTTTGTACAAGGCCCAGATAAGACCGAGTATTTCTCACATGTTTTATACGTATGCTCCTTTGTCGCCGGGGTATCGAATTGCAGATCAATCTATATGATGAGGCTTTTCCCAGTTCTACTAACCTCAAGCAGTTCAAAACAGGATGAACAAAGTTTCTTCAAGCTGCACAAAGCAGTCGCCGTGCCCTGGAGTTAGGCTTCTGCCTGTGTGGCTGCCTCGGTGTAAAAAAAAACAAGGAAACTAGTAATTTAGCTTTATTACTAGGTTGTTCAATTGGGAAAACACTAGCTGCTAGATCACCAGAATCGGTGGCATATAGCGGTCACAGTGGCGACCCACCTGACAATGCGAACTGGGATACTGTTCCAACAGACAGCTTGCTGTTTCGATTTTCGCAATGGTCGATTCTGGTAGTAGATGACACTTTGTGCAATCTTATTTCGATAGACAATATAGATCGTGTCGACAACATTTTTGTATGAGTTTTTGTGGTATATTATTTTTGTTACAATTCTGCCATCAATAAAAGCAGTTTGATAAATATAGAATCTTTAGTAATATACTCCGATATAACATGACAAATTCTAGATCTAGTAATCAAACATGAATTTATTCTGAAACACCCGACACGAGACGAATGTTCCTTAACATTTTTTTCAAAAATGTCCAATGGCATCTCCCCATAAGATACGCCGATCAAAGTTAAAATCAATTATCAATTTATAACAATTACAACTTCTACTTACGACAGATCATGCCCCAAAATAAAATAAAATTGACGTCCAAAAAACTTGTGAAAGTGGCACAACATAAAAATTCTAGCAGTGGTGCCAAGTGCTAGCGGACTATAAAAAAGGTTAGTAAAAAATGAATAAAAAATGTTCAAAGGAAATTCATAGCCTTAGATACCACAACTAAATGTAATCATGTATACAATTTTTCGGATAAACGCATCCGTAAGAACAAAAACACTTTTAAGAATAACAACTTCCGAGGTAGGAGATTTGAACCCGCATCTTTTCCATTCCGGGACTGGTGACATAACTCTCAAGTCGTTATTTTCAAAAATAAATAGAATAAGAAAAAAGTAAATCAGTATTCTAACGTATTGCCTGCATAAAAACTTTCAGAAAACTCGTGTTGTAGTACTATAGGCTATATTGAACAACAAAACAAAAACAAAATACACCTACTCTACAAGTCTTATCCTTGAGGAAATCAAAATGTTAATCCCCTGATGAAAAAACATTTAACCTTAAATAAAATTCTTGAGAATACGAAAGACATTCCAGAAGGATTTCGACTTTTCCTTTTGCAATTAAACCAAATAAAATAAAAGTAAATAAAAAAGAAATAATCGTACCGCATATTTCGGGAAGGAATAAATGAAGCTGGTGAAAATGGGATCATTTAAGGACGGGAACGGTAGCTGGGTATAATCCTTAACCAAAAAGGATCGGTGCACACACTACAAATAATATATTACTGAAATTATCAAAAAAAAGTCATAAAATAAGTGCAATTGCCATTCTTCAAGCACCTGATAAATTCAAAAGCATTCGAGACTGGCGATTGGGATCAGTTCCAATGTGGCAAATATCACATAGAAGGTTGCAAGTTAGTTGGTCAGCAACTGTTGATACCAAATCGCAATATTCGTACTATATAACAGCATAGGGAATATGCATGTGATTCAAATATGAGTTAATCATTTCTATTTACAGTTTATATTGCTACTGAATGACACCTCCAACCTTATTTTTACTTAAGCGCTATAAAATTACAAATAATAATAAAAAATAGAAGAAAGTATTGCGTCAGTATAATGTTTGATCAACTTGAAAGAATACAGCTATCGGATTGTTTTATTAACTTTCTCGTGTAGTTTAGGGTCGTATCGTCACTCGTTCCTACAATTATTAATTATTGTAGGATGCCTTTATGGTCTCCTTTATTTTCATAGTAGTTTCTCCTCTTCAGAAAGGCTGATGGATTTCTAGATTTCTACTGTTCCGTGTCAGGGTCAACGCTCTCTATTGTGAGCTTATGTTTTCTTTTCGAATTGTAGGAAATTTCAGGCTGATATAATAGATGATATCAATCAAAAGCATGAACAATTTGATGCAAATAGATACTTGTAACATAACCTCAAAATAGATCGCTGACACGGAACAGTAGAAAACTATGAATATCAAGGAGGCCATAAAGGCGTCCTACAATTGTAGGAACGACTGATGATACGGCCTTTAGACCACAAACAGACTTAGTTCTTGAGATATGAGTGCAATCAACAATGACTGAAAGTGATTTTTTATAATCTAAGGTAAATAAAAATTAATCATATTTGAGCAAAACGGTAGTTCTGTGTTCTGTACTTACGTTAAAACGATCTTCACAACAATTACTTTCTGGAAATACAAATATATTATCCCTTTTCATAATTTTACACATCACGGGAAATATGACAAAATATTTTATCCGGTATTTTCCGTGTCATATTTTTGCACATAGTTACATTACAGTACATAAAGCTTCCATTCTTGATTCATGCTTGTTTTGTAAATAAAACTAGAAAATATGAAATAGATCCTTTCAAAACTCGACAGCGAATCAACAGAAGAGACAATCAAATGACATGTCGACGGTTATGACGTCACTGCGGAGCGCGCCAAAAATGCGGCATTTAAATCAAAGTTCCAAATATTTAATTAAAAATAAATACGAAAATTTTATGTGTTTAAGGTATATTATATTAACGTAAATAATCGACAGAACATACAAAAAAAATCATGCATATTCCCTATTGCAACTACAGCTGCAGCACGGTAATGAAATTAACTTCATTTTGCCGCCACCGCAGATGGTCGGTAGTCGAGGAATTGATAAGACTTAGTACTAATATTTTGTTCGGAAGGAACTAGGGTGCAACTTTTAAACTAACAGGGTGGCAACTAATCATTAAAAGCTATAAACGCCACGTCAAAACAAACAACATGACATCATTAAATTATCGCGGTCATTTATTGGCTAGTGAACCATAGACAGGGGACAGCGACAGACGACCGAGGGCTCGTGTTTGTTTTGACACGGCGGAAATGAGGTTTGTGAGGGGATTAGCTCCAATTATACTCAAAGACCACAAAAGCGTTACCCTTACCTTAGCGTCGAAGTTGGAGAAGTCTGCAAATCCACCTCCACCGCTTCCAAAAGCATCTCCAAAACCAGAATCGGCCGATTTTTTGGAAGCTGGCGGCACAGAAGGTCGAGGGGGAGCAGGCCGTGGAGGCGGAACCTATAACCAAAAATAGCGTCAAATAGGTTGCGACCGCAGTATTTTGACATAGAATATTAGTCCGACTGGATTAAGAATTTTTGGTACCGAGACCAGACAGCTCCACGCCGATTGGAGAATCCATACGGTGCGATTAACTGATTCAGCACGAGTATGGGCTATTTCTCTTCAAGAAAATTTGACTATCTGAAATACAATTAGATAACTTTTACTACCTTTACTTGAAAAGCTAATTTTTAGATACAATGTTCATCAACGATCTATCCGTAACATATCTTCATTAACTTCATAATTCAGCTCTTCTGCTTCTCCCTTCAGTTATGAGTAGCACAGCTGTACTTTTCTACCATTAAATATTATTATGCAGTAAATGGTCAAGTGTAAGATTAGTTGTTTAGGTAAGCTTCACTATTAAGCTGCTCACTAATGTCATTATAGGTAATACATGTATTATAATTATGTAATTTGTTCTTAATAAAATGCGGTTTATTATTATCATTTACCTTGCTTTTCTTTGGTGGCAGCGCTGGGCTAGGACTAGATGGTCTTCCTGGAGCAGAAGTCGCTCCTACTGAATCACGGGTAGGAGCGTGTAATACGGCAAATGGATCACAGCCAAACTGGTCTTTTTCAGCCTCAAACTAAATAAAAAAAAAGCGAGATACTGAATTTGATTCAAATACATGGCTTCACTAAAAAGCATACCTCTGCTGATTTTGTGTCTGAATTTTTCCTCGAATTATCAAATGCGTTGAACGGATCGTTTTGAGAGGTTGAGGTTGTGAAAGATCCTCCAAATGGATCGGCCGCAAATCCACCCTAGGAAAAATATGGAAAACTAAAAGTCCGTAGCAAGGATAATATGAAATATATTCAGCTGTAATACTAATTATTCAATTATTTCAAAAAATATGTCCGACTGACATGATGTCAAAAGTCATTGAAAATTACTCACGTTAGTGTCTGAAAAGGCAGCTTTAAAGGGATCACTAGAGAAGGCATCTTTGCTCTTGAATGGATCTGCAAATCAAAATTTTTGATATAATTCCATCACTTTCATCCGCTATGTATTAAGCCTTTCCCCCTTTCACCCACTGCCATAGGCCTCCATAGAATTTTTCATAAATTTTGTGCCTTAAGAAATGTTTGACGGATCACTCGTTCTGGAGATATTTAGGTTTCAATATTTGAGGTAAATTCCTAAAATATTCTTATGAAAAGGTTTAGCCTCCTCTATTCTGTAAACTACGTGCGGAAACGCTATAATTCCATGTTGGTACTCCCGAGCTATCAAACTAGTGTTTTACGAATTCCGTGCATATCGTCAAAAAACGTTTTCATTTTCGCCATGTTCATAGTTCCCCTGCTGTTCATTCATGAGAATATACGTTTTTTAGCTTAAGAAGGTTAAGATTATAAACATTTTTAAAGTAGGTAGGGAAATTATTTTTGCCAACTAAAGTTTCTCAGTAGTCTATGTATCTAGAACAGGGTGGCCCATATGTAACTGACTGGTTTGTATCTTGAATATTAATTTGTGAAACGAAATAAAATACGTTCATTTTTTTCATCTTAATCTTTTATTGAAATTTAGAAATTATTTACGAAAATAATATCAGACAAATGTCCGCATCTAGAAGCCGCGCAAACCTGAGCCCTCTTGATTACATTTTCCATCTCTTTTTGGTAGGTTTCGGGAGGAATGTTTTCAATCGCTTCCGTAATCTTGTTCTTTAGCTGCTCTACAGTATTTGGTTTGTTGGCATAAGACCTATTTTTCAAAAATCCCCATAAAAAAGTCAGGAACCGTTAAATCCGGTGACCTTGGTGGCCAGTTAACATCACCAAATCGAGAAATTAAACGTCCCGGAAATATTGAAAGCAAAAGATTCATTGTTTCCCTAACTGTGTGACAAGTTGCTCGGTCTTGCTGGAACCACATGTTTTGTAGGTTAAATTGTTGGATTTCAGGAGCCAGCAAGTTTTGTGCCATATCACGGTAGCGCTCGCCGGTGACAGTAAGAGAATTACCTGCAGCCTCTTCAAAGAAATAAGATCCAATGACACCTCCATACCAAGCTCCGCACCAAACTTAGACTCGACGACGATCTAGTGGTCGTTGATGGATGACACGAGGGTTCTCTAATGCCCAGATACGACAATTCTCTTTATTAACAAATCCGTTCATATCGAAGTGGGCTTCATCGCTAATTTTGGGTATTAAGCTGCACGACTGTATTATTGTCGGCAACTTTCATGGTCACTTGTAGTTCTTGGGTTATGGCCGCAAATGCAAGTCTTTTTCTAAATAGCCAGGTCTTGAGAACGATGTCTGGTAGACGTCTCAGGGCGCTCCCCTATACTTTCATGAGCTCTCTAGATATTTTCCGGAGTACGAACAGTTCGAACACTTTGACAAGTCTTTAACTTCACCTATTTGTTCAAAGTTCCGCACCAACTGACGAATGGTGTTGACACTGGGCACATTATTTCGACCGAAACCTTGTCCTGGCTTCCGAATAGTTGCAACAATGGACTCATTATTTCAGTAAAACGTTTTAACAATACTGACGCTTCGTGGGATCGTCTAGCGCTCCATGATGAATTGGACACATGTGCTTTAAACGGAACCACCTACTGAAATGCGTGTATCAAAAATGCGCGATTAAAATCAGTCAGTTAATATTGGCCACCCTGTATATGAGATATAGATAAAAAGAGATAGTTGTGTGACCTCACCATTTTTGAAGGGATCGTCCTCAAAGCCTGCAGTCGTTTTGTTGTTCTGACTACTGAACGGGTCGCTTTCAAATCCACTCTGCCAAAAGAGTAATATAATCAATCAAATGTATTGGCCTAATACATTACTATTGATTTGCATTATCAAGAGAATGTACTGACTAAACTGAAGTACCTGTTTGGTGCTGCTTTCCGTAACACCAAAGTTAGTATACACGGGATCCATGAAGTCAGGCTTGATCCTAAGCAATGAATCAGGAACATGGGTTGTATCCCCAGATTCGATGGCGCTATTGAAGGCAGCTATGGCGTCATTCATTTGTCTTTTCTGCTCTAGAAGTTGCGTTATTAGTGCCTTTGCCTGAAATAAAGAAAAAATGCCATCCAAAAAGTCAACCAATATTGCATGTTACTAAAAACATACACTTTTCACAATACCAGTTGACAAAAATAGCTATTACCACTAGGGTCTGACTGAAGGTCAATTTTTTGGTTGAAGTCGATGTTTGGCTTTCATCTGTTCATAAGAGATTAAGTTCAGCGTAATTTAAATCCCTTGAGAAAAAAGTCCGTTACGAACATGTACAACGGAGAAATTAAAACTATCCAGTCAGTCAAACAGGTACATGCAATTAGACCATATACACTCCTTTTCTGCCAAACCGGTAGTTACTGTCCGTCTGGCAACGTTGTCGTTTCCCACATCTGCGCGCCAGCGCCCACCGCTGAAACGAGTTATCGTTTATCTCGTGTATGTTAACTTTTTGTGCGCTGCAGTACGGATATGTTAGTCAGACGGACCGGTGCGCGGGCGGTGAGCTTAGATAGCAGGCGTAAGCGGATTGAAAAATGTCTATCATTCTAAGTTTGGGCAAATGTACGGGGAAATCTATGATGTGTGAAATATAGCTAATAGGCGCATATAATTACCAGGGTTGGGAGCGTATAAATATGTTAGCGGCGCCGCTGTGGCTACCCATAATTCCCTCTCAAAAGGGTGAAATGATATCGTTATCTTCTGCGACGGAAGGAGAAGCACGAGGGGTCCGGGGACGACTACTACCTGCGATCCCTCGCAGGTAGTAGCGAAGATGACGACAGTCACGTACCTACAGCCAAACAAATTGTGCCTAAATACGGAGTAAATGGTAGTACTCGGAATAAAGTATTGATTGGGGATAGACGTGTATTTTTTGGGGTAAAAGCCAAATCAAATCTACCCCCGTTTCTTACATCAGAAGTGGGATTACATCCGTGCCGCATTTTCCACTTTATATTGGACAAAAAAAAAGGGAACAATGTCGGAAGAAAACAGTCCTCGTCGCGAAAGTGTCGAAGTCGCGTGTAGTGCCGAAGTGGATACCGAGGAAGTGGCTATGTCTCCGCCAACTCCTAAACGGCGGAAAGTTGAGTGGCAGGAGACATTGATGAACTTAGTGGCTGCACAACAGCAACAGTTAGCCGAGTTAACTCGGCAGTCCAGAATGACATCGTCCGCCCCGCCAACACCCAGGGATACCATCGTAGATGGCATACAGGCTACGATGTCTGGACATACGTCGTTTAAGCTCACTACGTTCGATCCCGACAAAACTGCATACTCCATCGGGGAATGGCTGGATGACGCTACGAAGCTTAAAGATGAACTAGGCATCAGTGATAATTTAATGATTGCTAAGGCTAGCGAAGCTCTCAAAAATCGTGCGTATCAATACTGTTGCGATTGGAGACCGAGATGCCGAACCTGGAAAATATTCTGTGACGACCTAGTGGTAGCCTTTCCAGACCAGGAGACTCCAGGTGCCCGTGCTTTTAAGGCAGCTACACTCCGGAGTAACGATTGTGAAACTTTATGCGAATATGGCAACCAAAAGCTACGTTATATTCGCAGATTCCAAGAAAACTTGCCATGGAACAAGGTACTTAGCATGGTGGAATATGGGCTGGATAACACAGAAGCCCGTTCTACTTTGCACATTCAAATTCCGGACTCGGAGCGAGAGTTAATGAAGCTGTTTTGCGAAATGGATGCGCGCCAAGTTGACCGGTCAAGCAAATTCAGGAGAGCTAGCGCACTCACAGGAACAACCTACAGATCAGAACATCATTCTAAGAACCACTACAACCAGAAACCAGCTAAAATAATTAAAAGTACTTGTTTCAACTGTGGTCGCAGGGGACATCACCAGAATACATGTCGTGTCGTGCAAATGGACAAAACAGTGAAAGTTGATGAAAAAGCCGAAACTACTGCCGTGCCATCTTGCACTTATTGCAAAAAGATGGGGCACAGTGAATCAAATTGCTGGTCAAAACATGGGAGGCCCAAGAAAACATTTGTATTGAAGTAACGACGCCAGCTACAAGTTACTCCGATAGCAACATTATTGTGTAATAACCAAGCAACATTATTTACCTACATCATTAACAGTGGTGCCGATGTATCCATAGTGAAACGCTCTGTCATAAGAACAATTAATGGCATTGTCAGGTCATCCAAACAAGTGCGTGCCTTTTCGGGACTCGGGAACAAATCTGTTTACGCCGAGGGTGTGAGCGACCTGATAGTCGTTCTGCCAAATGTGACTTTAGAGATAACTTTCACCGTGGTGTGTGACAGTGCTATCCCGGGTGATGTTGACGTTATTATTGGATGGGATGTTATCGGTCGACCATCTGTGCGAGTTGAAAAGAATGCCGATGGCCTGGATTTGCATTGTGAACCAGTTAATGCGATGAAATTGTTCACCCTAAAGACTTCTGTGGATGTTAAGATAAATCAGGAAGGGCTAGATGACAGCTTAAAGCCACAAGTGGAGAAATTACTAACACTCTATAAAAGCAAAACGCCTGAAACGATTACAACAGGTAAAATGACCATTCGATTAAAAGACAGTACTCCGGTTTCATACCGTGCACGTCGTTTAGCACTTCAAGAACGAATAGAAGTTAACAAAATAATTGACGATCTTTTGTCTAAAGGAATCATCCGAAAGAGTCGTTCAGAATATGCCAGTCCTATTGTTCTAGTTAAAAAGAAGAGCAATGAGACAAGGATGTGTGTTGATTACCGAGATATAAACAAACGTGTTTATAAAGAAATATACCCCCTACCCGTTATCGAAGAACAGGTGAACTCATTGTCTCACGCCAAATACTTCACTACACTAGATATGAAGTCTGGTTTTTATCAAATGGAAATTGAGGAAAGTTCCAGACACATTACTGCGTTTATCACACCAGATGGGCTCTATGAATTTAACCGTATGCCTTTTGGATATGTCAATGCCCCGGCAATATATCAGCGAGCAATTGACGAGGCTTTAGGAGACCTGAAAGGTAATAAGGCTTTTGTCTACCTTGATGATGTGCTCGTGCCGTCGGCCACAATAGAAGACGGCTTGCAATATCTGGAGGAAGTGTTGAGTGCTTTGGCTATTCATGGATTTTCCTTGAACTATGAAAAGTGTAAATTTTTTGAGAAACAGATAGAGTATCTTGGTGTCCTATTGAGTGAAGGAACAATTCGCCCTAGTCCGAGAAAAGTGAATGCGCTAACCCAATCACCTTCTCCGACAAGTGTTAAAGGTATTCGCCAGTTTATGGGACTCGCGGGTTATTTTCGCAAGTTCATTAAAGACTTCTCCATCATTACGGCTCCAATTACGGCTTTGTTACGAAAAAACCGTGTTTTCGAGTGGACTCCCGAATGTGAGCGGGCAAGGCAATTTATTATGGACAAACTGACCAGTTCTCCTGTATTACGAATGTTCAATCCCGCCCTGAGTTGTGAACTTCACACTGACGCGAGTTCAGTGGGACTTGGCGCTGTGCTGCTCCAAAAAGAAGACGGTGTTTCGCGACCTGTCGCCTATTATAGCCGTCGGACGACCGATTACGAATCAAGGTATCACTCGTATGATTTAGAGACACTTGCTGTAGTGGAAGCTGTTGAGCGATTTCGAGTTTATTTGTACGGAGTGCACTTTGTGGTGTACACTGACTGTAATTCAGTGAGAGCAACTGCTTTGAAGAAAGACTTACACCCCCGTGTAGCACGTTGGTGGATTAAGTTACAGGACTACGACTTTAGCATCGAGCATCGTCCCGGAAGTAAAATGGCTCACGTGGACTATCTGAGTCGAAACCCACCAGAGGAAGAATCTGCTCTGAAGGTGTTCGCTTTGAAGACTATAAACGTGAGTAGACTATCAGATGTCAAAACTTTGCGAAGTTTTCAGGAGCAAGACACATTTTGTTTTGAAATCCTGAATAATCCAGAAATAAATCCCAACTTTATTGTAACAAATAATGTCGTTGTGACCAAGTCAAAACCCCATAAGTGTTTTGTTCCCATTGAAGCACGCCTTTTGACAATGAAACTATATCATGATGAATCATCACACATTGGTTTCGACAAATGTATAGCCAAATTACGGGAGGATTTATTTTGGCCAAAAATGGGCAAATGTTTGAAAAAGTACATTAGAACCTATCGAGCATGTGTACTAGGAAAATCACATACCGGTCGCAGAGTAGGATGATGGCAGCATGGCGAAAAACCTGATGATATCCTCCACACTTGGCACATTGATCATGCAGTACCTTTGATAAAATCAAATGGATGCACGCACATCTTGGTAATAATTGATGCCTTCTCTAAATATTGCCGTCTCCCACCAATCCCAAAGAAAACCTCTGAAGATAGCATCCGTGCTTTGTTACCAGTTTTTCAAGAGCTGGGGACCCCGCAACGCATAATAGCTGACAGAGCAGCCGCATTCACATCGGTGACATTCCAGAATTTCCTTAGTGAGCAAGGAGCTCAGTTACATCATATAGCGACTGGAATGCCTCGAGGAAATGGACAAGTTTATTTGACATTGGGGATCTTGTGGCTGTCGAAGACTCCCAGTTAGCTGGAGGCGGAAAATTGAAACCGAAGTTTAAAGGACCCTTCACTGTCCGAAGCGTCCTTCCTAACGACAGATATTTGCTAGGCGGAAAAGGACGACGTGCTACACTAGCCGCTCATGAGCAACTACGACGTTGGCCCTCCCAGAACTGACACATAGAATGAAAGTGTACGTAGAATACAATACTCGTATCATGAATCACACTTTCAGATAAGGTCTGGCTTTTAGCAGCAACACAAAATGGTTTGGTGCTAATCGCAACAGAAAAATTCTGACTGTGTATGAAATGTTGATGAATTTAAAAAAAAAAAAAGAAATTTATTTCAAGAGTTTCATATGTCTGACATTTGGCAGCATCTGAATGCGTACGAAAGATTAAATAACAGAGACCATAGTAAAAGGAATAAGTCATCCTTTTTTTTTATTTGTTTTCTCGTATTTGTGTTTGAATATTGTTACGATCAGATAAGGTCTGGCTTTTGACAGCAACAGAAAATGTCTGGCTGTGAATAGCAACAGAAAATTTCTGATCGTGTGAAATCTGGCTTTTGACAGCAACAGAAAATGTCTGGCTGTGAATAGCAACAGAAAATCTCTGACCGTCAAAATAAGGAAAAAAATATAAATTAAAATAAGAGTGGTGTTGTCACTTTCAGATAAGGTCTGGCTTTTAGTGGTAGCAGAAAGGTCTGACTCTAATTGCAACAGAAAATTTCTGATTGTGTACAAAGTACTGATGAAATTTAATTGAAAATGTTTTGACACATTCAAATTAGGTTTGACATTTGGCAGCATCTAATTGTGTATAAAAGATGAAAATAAAAATGATACAGATGTTTGTATTATTTTTGAGGATTGTTACGATCAGATAAGGTCTGGCTTTTGACAGCAACAGAAAATGTCTGGCTGTGAATAGCAACAGAAAATTTCTGATCGTGTGAAAAGAATGTTTTGATACATTCAAATTAGGTCTGACATTTGGCAACATCTAATTGTGTATACAAGATGAAAATAAAAATGATACAGATGTTTGTATTATTTTTGAGGATTGTTACGATCAGATAAGGTCTGGCTTTTGACAGCAACAGAAAATGTCTGGCTGTGAATAGCAACAGAAAATTTCTGATCGTGTGAAAAGAAAAGTAATAAAATGAGTTCTAAAAAAAAAATGGTGATAATAATTATGGAAATATGTCACATTTAGATGAGGTCTGGCATTTAACGGCACCAGAAAAACCTGGATGTTAAACGCTGTTACTGCATAAAAAAAAAATAATATTATGTCTGGTCTCAATTGAGATCGATTGTGAGATAATACAATTGTCATGCACAAATTTTGGCTTGGTGTTTGCTATTCCAGGTGTGGTGCGTGGACGCTCAACTTATCTCGGATGGCCGTGTTAGCGGCGCCGCTGTGGCTACCCATAATTCCCTCTCAAAAGGGTGAAATGATATCGTTATCTTCTGCGACGGAAGGAGAAGCACGAGGGGTCCGGGGACGACTACTACCTGCGATCCCTCGCAGGTAGTAGCGAAGATGACGACAGTCACGTACCTACAGCCAAACAAATTGTGCCTAAATACGGAGTAAATGGTAGTACTCGGAATAAAGTATTGATTGGGGATAGACGTGTATTTTTTGGGGTAAAAGCCAAATCAAATCTACCCCCGTTTCTTACAAATATACTAACATCAAACAATTTTCATAGCTATCTATTCACAGAGGTATTTATGAAACGCCCGATTTCATGTAACCTTTTTAAAACAATGTGCTCATTTGGATCAGATTTATATTTTTTTGGCATATAATAGGTTGAATCAAGTTGACAACAACAGTTTTGAATTTTGACGAGAAATAATTGAAGTATATAAACCAACACCGCAAAGTAATCGGACTTGTACCTTTTACCTGTATTCGAATGTTTGTTCTGCAGGGTTGGATGTCTGACAAAATTGTGTACACTGGTACTATAACAGGTAGCTTAAAGGTATTTCAGAGTACCTAATCGGTTTCAACAAAAAATAATTAACTAAGGGCCTATTAACATTCTTCAGCATCTCTTGTGTTTGAATTGTCTCTAAACTTGCAGACTAAGATTATGTGCATCTTTGTTTCCTTGGTACGCGATATTTTCACGAGTAGATATTTTTCGAAACGTTCGGCCTTTTTTATCACCAAAATATGGAAACATTCGACTCACCTGACTGATGTTCAGTTGTGTATTCTGCAAACTGGTGTTGATACCCTCCAGTTGTTTCGTGCTCTCATCTTTCTGTTTTTCGAGCCGTTCCTCTTCCATTTTCAGACCTTCCAGCTGCTCTTTTTTGGTGTTCAATTCCGTTTCTTGCGTCTTAACTAGTTCAGCTTGTTCGGCAGCTTGTACCCGAAGTTTGTCCACCTAATAACCAGCTCTCAGTAAATAAGAACGTGGTTTAGTTAATGAACATAACAAACTGGAAATTCTAGACAAAAACTGAAATCTGGCTCATAGTGGTGCATGTTTTAAAACCCATGGGGTTTATAATGCGGCTTTAGCTGTAAAGTTTACTGAGTTAATCTATTATTTTACGTCATTTCCAGTTTGTAAGTTCACATACTTCAAGGCTGCTCCACATTACTATTATTATTTCTTCAATACAATCAAAATTTTCTGTTTTACGTTGTAGCGAAAAACTGAACTTGAATAAAGTCAACAAGGTCTCCACACGCAAATAACATAGCCCTACAAAATGACACATGTTTTATTTAATACAGGAGCAGCAGACGCGTAGGAGAAGCCTGTAAATACCAGGGCACCGCGGCACTTTGCGAATCCGATTTATGAACTGCCTACGGTTCGCGGAACTGGATAAACGTCCTCAGACAGACTGTCCCACAATTTCGATACCCTAGGGACACAGGAGCGACAGTTCTGAGGGGCAAAGCCCGTTGACATATCGGTAGAAGACAGTTCGCAGATCGCATGTGGCCCGTCAGTGCGAAATGGTTCCGAGATTGTCCGTTAGAAAAGAGTCATCGATCTGTCGGACAGCCTTCTTCAGAACAGCATCGAGCATGGATAATGTAGTTAGTGCGGCAAACAAACAAAATTCCAAAGCATTTTAGAGGGTATTGTTATTGAAAACATTTGTTTTTTAATTGCTTATAATTTACTACTGACTTTAAGATGTAAGTTTATTCATCATTTAATTAACATCATTGAGATAAGTCACGTATCTGCAATTGAAAAACAAACGTTTTCGGTAATAATATCACCTAAAATACTTTGGGATTTTGTTAATGGACTTTGTCAAATATGAAATCGCTGATATTTCGAAATTTAGAGCGAAAAAAGGAAGGCATTTGTGGAATCAGCGCTTCAAAAATAGTCAAATTCAGTTTTTACTTCTCCAGCAGCAAAGTGACTGTTGGGCTGCGTAATTGAACCGATTCAAATGTATTTCATAACATTCAATTATTTTTCTACAACTAATTATAAAATTTGCTAAGTGGAGACACCTTCAAGACCTATAAGGTGGATGCGACTATACAAATGGATGTTCTACCACCACAGAAAGCATCTACATAAGCATGGCTTTTTCACAAGTGATTTCTCACCTTAGCTGTCCATTCCTCAATCTCTACCTCCACTTTCTGTAACTCTTCACCAACCTCAGCTTTCTAGCAACAAAATAAAAGAAAAAATGCAACATGCCATAGAACAAAAAAAAAAGACCTACAACCTTATGCCGGAGAAAAATAAGCAATTAGTTGTAGTGCAGATACATGAGAAAAAAATTAGTGAGCAGTAAGGCTAAACTAGTTCAAGGTGCAAGTGAGAAATATTTAAATATATGAACCATCAATATTTTAAAGCAAACAAAATTATTCTTGAAAGTAACAAAAAATAATTCCATGAAATGTTTTTTTTTCTTGCAGACATTATAGCCTCAGACCATAACAGCAAAGAATAGGTTTTCAAAACACCTGTTCCTATAAATTTCAACAATTGCATTTTCAGTATCCTGAACCTAATCATTTCTTGTAAATTCAATATTTATTTACAAATAAAAAACAGGACCATGCTATAAAATATAAATGATTCATATATCATCAAAAATAATTTAAAGACTTTCCACAAGCCACATAACCATAGAAATAAATATCTTACCTGAGCTTTTAGATCACTAAGTCTTTTATGGGCTTCCCCTTTTTGGTTTTCTAGCTGTTTCAGCGTCGCCGCTAAAGTATCCAACTCACTCTGGACAAATTACATATCTATTTATTTATTTATTTATTTATTTATAATCCATACACTGCCTGAACAGAGTGATCCAATTAACAGGCAGGGAAAAAACAAAAAGTGATACAAAAACAAAACTGTAAGCAGTATAAACATAAACATAAATTATCCAATTGTTAAAAATAACCTCTTGAGATTGATTTTGGAGGTACTAAACGTATCAACGTATCATATCTTTATACAACTTCGATAATAAATCAACAAAATCGCATACCTGTAAACTTTTAATCTCTCCACTTTTTATTTTTAGATCGGCTTCTTTTTGTGCGATATCACTTTCCAGAGCAAGCTTTTCTCTTGCCAGTTCTTCGAGGTCTTTGGTTATCATTTCTAGTTCTGGGTTTGAGTATTTCGTACTATTGTTCTCCTAGAATGAAAATTATGATATACTTTTCATAACCCAAAAACCTCCAAGTGTCCATGCCTCCCAGTAAAATTACTATAAATGTTTTTTTTATCCTAGGTCTCGACTATACCATTCATACGTATCACTTCACACTCGCCCATGACGGTACATGTCAAAAAAAACTTGACATATGTCAAAATGTTGTTCCACGTTACACTACTAGCATTATTAATCAACTCTGGAGCTTTTTTCAGCAATCCCATGAAGAAACTTCGGGAAAAAGCTTCCGGCATCTTTAAGAGCAAATATGGGAAAGGCAAAGCGCTGCATTTCTTAGGGCACGATCTCAGCGAATATCCAGGTTCAAATCCCGAGTATATCAATATCAACAAAGAAAAATGGGAAGAGTATTATCAATGTTTGCTCAAACAGAACGAAAGTCTGGGAAGTCGTCTATCTGCAACTCCAGAAGCTGTTTTGGGTTTTGAAGGAAACAACATCAAGTAACTAAAAACAACTAAATAAGATGTTCAACCCTATGTTTAGAAGTAATCAAAACAGCCTCTATTTTCATTAAAAAAATATTTGTTCTCAAACATGACATCAACCTTCCAAGAAATGATCATCCCCTACGTCTTTCATCATTATTCCTAAGACTTCTCAGAATTTCCCAACGACAGAAAAGGAAATCCAGTAGCGTGCGCCAACAGTCAATGAGATGTCACCGAAAGACGGTGGTTGACAGGTAACGAGTAGTTGACGGCTCCAGGCTTTGAATTCTTATTTTAGCGCAGGCTTTGAGATTGGGTACCTTCTTGATGGAATATGTTGATCAATGCTTAAGATTAACAATGTTTTTCAACTCTGGTTAGGTGAATATTTCATATGTGGATGAGTGAATGTCGAAATATTTAAAACATTCAGACTTAGCAGTTGAATGTGAACTATACTTTAATTCAATGGACATCTGAAGGACTGTGCAACTTAATTGGTGGCTGAAAATAAAGGATCTGATGCCTTAGCTCATTTTAGGAAGCAAAGTTTTGAGCTACAGGGTGTTAAAATGTGAAGAAAAAATTCGTTTTCTAATAACTTTAATACCATTCTAAATATTTTCATGAAGTTTGACATGCACTTATTAAGCAGCAATAGGGATTTTTTAATGTAGAATATTTTTTAATATTTTACCAGTGGCGTCCGTAAGGGATGTATACTGGAGATTTTTCAAAAACAAATATGGTACGTCATTGTTTTTTTCAAATCCTCATTTATTTTGCAGTAAATTTGACTTCATGACCTTTTGCAAAAATAAAATCATTTTCATGCATTTGAGGTATAACGAAATTATTTTCAGCCTACTATGACGGTGCCCCTGTTTTTAAAATAATGGCATTTGATCGATTACGTTGAGGTCTTATTTTGGCAAGTATTCATAAACGTGATAGTTTTTTACATTGTAAATGTTTATTTAATCAATAACAAAGAGAAAATAAGTAAACTTTGCTAATATTTACAACTTCCGTATAAAGCAATTTTAAGCGAGGAACTGTGGTGAATCTGGGTTATTCCTTAGTTATGCTCTTGATTATTATATAATTTGTCCTTCTTACACAGAACACAGATCAGAGAACAGGGTTCCTACACTCAACTGTTTTGTGTTCAGACCGGAACGATTATAAATGTGATTCAAATATAAGTAAATACTCTTGATGATATTAAAAACGTGCCCGAATACTTTTTTCAAGTTCTGTTAAAATAACAATGATTACATCAACTCAGTAGCACTACGTCCCGTGTCATATGATATCAGTTTTTTATACTCACTGATAACTTTTTTCGAAAAATTTCAGTTACAAGCGACACAAAACAAATACAAAAGAAGCATACATGAGACTTACGTTATATTTATGGACTGACATTTGACAAACAAGAACCGCACAGAAATCACCACCCAGACAAGGTGGTTAATGGTCATATCTTTCAGAAACAGTGACGTTACTATCATCATTATCATTTGACAGCTGTTACAAACCGGGTGGCTTAAAATGAAAGGGTCAAAACAAAACACGAATGGATATGGATATCTTAAAATTTCTTATAAGCTGTTAAAGCACGTCCAACATAACGTTTTGTTCCAACGATTGAGTCCAAATAACCAATGTTTTAGATTGATGTGTAAGATGTGCTTAAGTCCCCAAGAACGTCAGAAAGCCGATTCTATAGAATGGGAATGGGCTCCTCAAGAGGCAAAACAGTTCCAGCCTATCGATTTAACAGAACACGTTGTCATTTCGCCCGTAGATAAGACATTGCATCTGTATAACCTCCAAACGGAACAAACAGGACAGTATATTTGCAGATTGGGGGAATCTCTGACAGCTCCATATTTCGTTACAGTTGTGAATATATCAGACGCTGAACTGAACGAGGTAATAAAAACGAATCCTACATGAGAGCAAAAAATACTGTTCAAATCAGATACGCAACTTTTAACACACAACATAAATTAACTCCCATGTTTCACTGGCGGCCAAATAAAACCACAAATGTAGAGTCGAATATTTTCTAATGTTTCGGACACCTTGCTGTGTTTAGTTGGCGGCGAGAGATTCATCAACTAGTTTCAGGTATTACAATGATACAACACAAATATTTGTTTTATCAATGCTACATATTTACTATTTTACCATAGGTTCATACACCTAAGGCCCCTTTAGGCCCATACCCCACAGAAGCTGATGCTATAGAAGAATATCGTCTGATCTTGGACACAGAGTGGAGTCCTTGGTCTGTGTGCAGTACTTGCGACAAAATCGGAAGGAAACACAAACTTGGATATTGTACAATATTTTCAAATGCGAACAAAGAAGTAAGAATAACTTATCCTTGTTCAATGTAGGGATTTTGAATTCAAGTATGCACGCAGTATGATTATGAAAAAATTCATTATAGTACATTACATACCTAGATTGAAAAGTAAGCCGTTATTGGCCAATCACTTTTATATCCTGAGGCGCATAGCGAGATCAATAATAGCTTTTTTAAACGAGGTATGTACTGTTGGACCAGCGAAAGATTGCAAGCCGAAAGAATGCGGACAAAAAATTGCGAAGTTGTCAGATGTTCTACATAAAATGCGGTCCATACATATTAACATATTTAAGATATAGAATTGTTCCGCTGAATTTGGCAATGTAGCTGGAAAACCCAGGCCGCAGGTAAACATCCGGTCGCTGATTGGTCCAAAACTCTTATCTTATCTGAAACTAGAATAACGTGCCGATGGCACGGTCATTTATAAACCTACTCCCATAGGCGTAGGCAGTTGGCAAATACTTTGAAAATATAATTTACTGTTTAGTGGTGATAATGGAATTCAAGCATGGGAAAGTTATTCACAGCCAGGCAAGGGAAATAATAGCAAACGTGATACGTGCTTGCGATGCAGAAGCGGCTAACAATACTTTCGTTTATCCACTGGTAGCTATAAATGCAAGGGCGGCATATTATACGGGTGTTAGTGAACGAACTATAAGTAAAATTAGAAAAGAAGATAAAGACAGGCAAAATGCAACCTCCACACAGCCTTTAGCTTCTCCCGGAAAAAAGAGATCACGCCCTTCTGTGATCCAAAAAATTGATGGAGTCGATTTTTCCATTATTCGGAGAATGATAGAAAAATTTTACTGTGATTTTAAAGTGGTACCTACTTGTAGTAAACTTCTAATCAAACTGAAGGAAGAAATGGAATTTCCATTTGGTAAAGAATCGTTGAGGCTGCTTTTAAAAGCAAAAGGATTTTACTGGCGTAAATGCCACAACAAAAGGAAATTACTAATGGAAAGACCCAGTATTTTACATTGGCGATACAAGTATCTTAGGTCTATTAAAAAGTTCCGGGAAGAAGGAAGGCATATTATTTATTTGGACGAAACTTGGGTTGATAATGACCTCACTTTCAAGAAATGCTGGCAAAGCGAAGAAATTATGGGTGTCCTGAGCAATATAAGTTCTACAGGTAATAAAGTTTCTTTCACCTCGATTTTGCTTATTATACATTTTTCTCAATTTTGGAATATTCTTAATAAGTGCTCATTTAATTTGTCTAATTGAATACATAATCCCTTGCAAGTATTTTTTTCTCAAAAATATGTTTTTTATACATAGTGATTCAAAAAGGTGTTGGCAAACTTAAAATAACACTAAAATGAGGCTATTTATTCATTTCCAGGACGACTTATAATTGTTCATGCGGGTTCGCAAGATGGTTTTGTTCCTGGAGCCTGTCTCATTTTCAAGGCTGGCTGTGCCACTGGTGATTATCACGGTCAAATGAACCAAGAAAATTTCACGAAGTGGCTTACTGAAAAACTATTTCCTAACATTCCTCCTAATAGTATTATAATAATGGATAATGCACCTTACCATTCAGCTTTGGAAGACAAGCCTCCAACTAGATCTTCTCTAAAAAGAGACATCATCACGTGGTTGAGCAAAAAAGGTATAGAGCATGATCCTAATGCTAAAAAAATGGAGCTTTATGAAATAGCTTGTCTACATAGGCCACCATCTGATGAGAAAAATTATAAGATAGATAATTTAATAAGAAGTTTCGGACACACCCCACTTCGAACGCCACCCTATATGTGTCAGTTTAATCCCATAGAGATGATTTGGGCACAAGTAAAATTTTTCATTAGAAGCCATAATACAAGCGGCGAATTTACTATAAAAAAACTAGATGAAATTTCTAATAAGGCCATCGCTTCAGTAAGTGCCAGTGACTGGCAAAAGGTTATTGGACATGTTATAAAAATTGAAGATGAATATTGGGAAAAAGACAGTCTCATTCAAGAAATACAGGAAGAAATAATAATCAACATAGGAGGTGAAAGTGATAGCAATGACAGTTCCTCAGACAGTGATCATGACTCTAATCAGGATTGAAACTATACTAGATTGGCTACCTTTTAGAATTTTTAGATATTCATTTATTATACTATTGGTTTGTGGCTTTTAGTATCTCAGTAGAAAGTCTAATTCTATGTGTTGTTTATGGGTTATTTCATCAAGAAATTACTTTTTGTTTTCCTATATTTTTCTATTCAGTCAGATATTTTTGACTTGTTGTATTCTATTTTAGAAGAATGCATAATTTGTTTTGCTGTTCAATCATAATGCGTACATAGGAATATTACTTGTTGCCTAAAAAATATATTTATTTTGTTCTCAATATTCAGTGTTTGTGTATATTTATTTCTTATAATGTATGTTTGGTATCACGTCATTATGAATCGCAAAAAAATATTAATACTACCAGTTGTAATAAAATATAAATTCAATTAATAATTCAAGTCTCTCCGATCTCCGCCTATGACTCCATATAAAATCGTCTAATGGTAAGGTTTTTTCATCGCATTTCCCCCTTTCGTCCCTAGCAATCTTTGGCTGGTCGATCTATATATAATCGATTTTACTAATAACACGATTTCTTAAGGTCTCAATATTTTCATTGTAGTGTCATGTACCTTAACCAGTACGTAAATCAAGGATCATGACGTTGCATGCTCATTTTACTCGTATAGGTATTTTAATGGTTAATGCCTATACGATCGGCCTCTAAACGTTGCTGTTTGTGAAAGCTCAAAGGCATACGTTTTTTTTTTTATTTCATTTTATTTCATCGCCTTGAAAAAATCTCTCGTCAACGTATGAGTCTTCCATATTTATGCTTGTCATTGTCAGTATGACAACTTACTTGGCATGAGCGTGCGAGTTTACCGTTTGTTGATTTTGGACAAAAAAACATTGCAATGCCAGAAGGTACCTGTATTTTGGGAAAGTGAATCGAAACAACGGTCGTCTCTCACAAAATTCATGCGTGTATGTGCAAGTACGAGAAGCAGCTGTGTTAAGGATCGGCTTGTACTGTGTGCTTCAGGAAGTTCAACTATGCTTCGCTATGGATAGCCACTCAGTTTGCTTATTTCTTATGGTATTGATGAAGTAACCGTCAAAAACGGTGAAAAGAACTATAAGTCGAAACATCTAGTGGCCTGGTGTCAAACTGACAAACTCAAATCTCCCATTTTTGTCTGACCAATGAAACCGCATATATTTGACATTCTTCTCTAATGTTGGTGACAAAAAAAGTGTCATCCACTGAAGAAGGTCACCGGTGTGACTGAAACGTTGACTACAGTGAAGACTTTCAAATATATGTGGTTGAGTTTCAGTTGTCACATTGACATAATGAAGTTAGCAGGATACAATTTTAAATGATATTATTTACTTAGTTGTTTTTTTTTTTTTGGGGGCATTGCGGTCAATAATGGAGATTTCTCAGGTTAGTAGTGAAAAAAATACTAACCTACCAGCAGAACGTCATAACACTTACACGTCCATATAAACAATATCTGTTAAGTGAACCAATCTGCTAGTAGTCGAACAGAAATAGGGAGTGGTAATGAAAAAAGCATTCAGATCAATTTACGTAATTGAAGATCACTCTCATTCCCTGTTTCACAACAAAACATCAAAGTTTAACCGAATGAAACAAGCTGAATGGATAGCATTCAGGGTCAAAAATTAATTAAAAAAAATCACTTGATTGTGTGTGTATATACAAGAAGAAGACTGAAAAACAATGTTTTCAGTTTCTTTTTTAGTAAAAAGTGCATTTTAACTTCAATCGTAACTTTTTAACAGTTCTAAAATTGTACGTGAATATTCCTCTTTTATGGAAGAATTGAGCTGGTGCTATCTTTTTTCTTATCACTTCCTCTCTTCAAAAAATCTTTGCTTTTCTTGAAAATTCAATTTGCTGCAAAATGCAAAATTTTGACGTACAATTTCAGAGCTGTACTATTTGTTAAACAGTTACGATTGAAGAAACCATGCACAGTAAAATGCACAAAAAATCATTTTGTGGCAAAAAATTGATAACATTGTCTTTTAGTAATTCCTATACAGACCATGAAATAATCAGATGAAAAGGATTTAGAATACTGCTCCAAACAGATAGCTGAAAATAGAGAGACATGCGACCCCAGGTCTGTTGACTGTATGCGTTATAATATGAATCGTATCAGAATCATTTGTCAATCAATCGTCAATAGAGCCGTCAAATCTCATAAATATGATCAATCAAACGTAAGCCAAGCGTGGCTGATTTGACACCTATAAGCCCATGCATTCATCATTAGCAAATAAAACCTGTACTTAAACTGTTCATACCGTCTTTTTCACGAGTATTCATTACGGTAGAATGACAGCTGAATTATCTAGTAATATTTCAAAATCCCCCATATCGACAAGTGACACACAATTATGATGAATCCGTCAACGCCAGATAGATAGAGTCGTATTTTGTTGTGTTTTTTTGTACGCCACGGATTTATTTTGTACTTGCTAACAACTCTTTTATTTAAAAAAGTTCTTCCGCATACAAGAAAAAAACGCTACAAGCTAAACGGCTGCTAGTAATCATGACTACAATTATTCAACTCAGTTCAGAAATAAAATGAGATAAATGATTTAGAGGTTCCACGCATACTTCACCTATACTTCAATTACGTTATACTGATGACGGAAAATTAACCAGAAACATGTGTCTATCTTATTTTTACAGTTGGAAAGAGCAATTCAGTCTATTCGGTGGACTTAACTCGTTATCAATAGATCCCAGATGTACTATAAACATCTTTCCATGTGACCTTCGTATATTTTATTCACAAAATTCCCAGTCACTAAAAGTATCTAAATATGTGAACAACCTCATTCACAATGCCTATACGATCGGCCTCTAAGCGTTGCTGTTTATTTGTGAAAGCTCAAAGGCATACGTTTTTTTTATTTCATTTTATTTCATCGCCTTGAAAAAATCTCTCGTCAACGTATGAGTCTTCCATATTTATGCTTGTCATTGTCAGTATGACAACTTACTTGGCATGAGCGTGCGAGTTTACCGTTTGTTAATTTTGGACAAAAAAACATTGCAATGCCAGAAGGTACCTGTATTTTGGGAAAGTGAATCGAAACAACGGTCGTCTCTCACAAAATTCATGCGTGTATGTGCAAGTACGAGAAGCAGCTGTGTTAAGGATCGGCTTGTACTGTGTGCTTCAGGAAGTTCAACTATGCTTCGCTATGGATAGCCACTCAGTTTGCTTATTTCTTATGGCATTGATGAAGTAACCGTCTAAAACGGTGAAAAGAACTATAAGTCGAAACATCTAGTGGCCTGGTGTCAAACTGACAAACTCAAATGAATGCAATAGGAAGCCGATTTGACCCACGGACTGGTCTATTTAAGTTTCAAATGGGTGTAAGATGATAATGTTTATTGGTTGTATTTTTATTCTGTATTTCTCACTTGTTCTCAATCATTTCGAAATATGACGTTTACGTTATCAAACTGACATACTAAAAATAATCTCCCATTTTTGTCTGACCAATGAAACCGCATATATTTGACATTCTTCTCTAATGTCGGTGACAAAAAAAGTGTCATGCACTGAAGAAGGTCACCGGTGTGACCGAAACGTTGACTACAGTGAAGAATTTCAAATATATGTGGTTGAGTTTCAGTTGTCACATTGACATAATGAAGTTAGCAGGATACAATTTTTCCCCCATATCGACAAGTGACACACAATTATGATGAATCCGTCAACGCCAGATAGATAGAGTCGTATTTTGTTGTGTTTTTTTGTACGCCACGGATTTATTTTGTACTTGCTAACAACTCTTTTATTTAAAAAAGTTCTTCCGCATACAAGAAAAAAACGCTACAAGCTAAACGGCTACTAGTAATCATGACTACATTTCAACTCAGTTCAGAAATAAAATAATATAAAATATTTAGAGGTTCCACGCATACTTCACCTATACTTCAATTACGTTATACTGATGATGGAAAATTAACCAGAAACATGTGTCTTATTTTTACAGCCGGAAAGAGCAATTCAGTCTGTTCGATGGACTAATCTCGTTATCAATAGATTCTATTCACAAGATTCCCAGTCACTAAAAGTATCTAAATATGTGAACAACAGCTGTGAATACGGTCTTAAGTTTTACTAGCGTTACATCCGATTCATTATTGCCAACGTTACAGACTAATACAAAGATGTCAATTGCTGATCAGCTGTTCACCTTAGCAGACGTCAAAACGTAATGGATACTTGTGAAATAGGTTGTAGTGTCGCCTTCCCCTTCCATTACATACAGGGTGATTCACAAGTTGTGACCAAAAAGGAAACATCATATACAGGACCGCATTTTAAGGCGGGTATTCAATGTAACATTTTTCCCTCGAGGGCTTCATTAAAAAGATCCTTAGTGTTGAAGTTTAAAAATAAAAAACATTTTTTTAATATCTTCAAAACCGTTAACTGGATTGAACTAAAATTTGGTATGTGAATTCACTTAAGTATTGTCCACATAGAAGTCTTTACTTAAAATTAACGTGTACCAGTGGCGTAGATACAGGGCTTTAGTGGCATTATTTTTCTACACCACTGTTTTTTTTCGAATTTTTACCTTCAACGAAGTGCAGCGGCGAAATTTTTGTGAGTGGTTACTGCAAATGCATAATCAAAACGCAGATTTTATTGGCTTGGTTCTGTGGTCAGACGAATCGCTTTTTACGAGGTGTGGAACCTTTAATTCTCATAATGAAAATATTTGGTCGATAGAAAATCCTCGTTCTGTAAGAATACACTCGTTTCAACACAGACTTTCTTGAAATGTCTGGTGCGGAATTTTCAATGGTCAACTGTTTATGCGCGTATTCCTACAACGTTTAAATGCAAACTCATACTTAGCTTTTCTAGAGAATTACATGTTCCGTTAGGAACGAGAGCACAAATGTGGTATCAGCACGACGGTGCCCCACCGCATGTTCGTCGTCACATAACCGCATGGTTAAATAATCATTTTAGACAACGATGGATTGGCAGAAACGGGCCGGTACATTGGCCTGCGAGATCTCCTGATTTGAACCCCATGGATTTCTTTTTGAGTTGCGCTTTTGAACAACTAATGTAAGCTGAACAAATTAATACAGTTGATCAGTTTCAAGAAAGAATAGATAATGTGTTTATTAAAAAGACGACGCACTTGTATCCGTCAGAATGGTGGTCTTATTGAACATTTATTGAAATAAAGCTTTTGAATGTGGACAATGCTTAGGTAAATTCCCATACCAAATTTTAGTTCATTTCAGTTGAAGGTTTTGAAGATATTAAAAAAAAATGTTTTTTATTTTTTAAACTTCAATATCCCGTATCTTTTTAATGAAGCCCTCGAGGAAAAAATGTTACATAGAAGGCCCCCTTAAAATACGGTCCTGTGTATGATGTTTGATTTTTGGTCACGGCTTGTGAATCACCCTGTATACACATTATAACTGTTCACGTATGGCCCAGAAGCCCTAGTAGACAGGACATAAATCTTTTATACTTGGCAACTAACATATAGTTTTTAGATTCAGTATCAAAAGGAATCTATTAATTTTTATTCTTGGGTTGCAGGTTATATCAGCTGCATCAAACTCTACAGTTAACGAAACTGAATTTACAAGTGAAGTAACGCCAGTAGATTTGGAACTATTCACAGTGTTCAAATATGGAATACCATGCAGATCACACATACTGTCTCCTGCTGTCAAAAACCTACCACAAGTCATAGCCAGAAAAAATGAAATTATGATAGGATACTGCAAGGTAAATAAAGTGAAGCAGCACTTAATAAGAGGAAAAAATCTATAAACTCAATTATTAACAGGTTAAGTACAGCACTTATATAACAGCTAGGCAAATATCGATAGTTTCTATAAAATATTTATAAGATCGTTTTTGGTAAAGCTATCTCTAAGCGTATGATTTTTTAAATGACTGTTCTCATGAGAAACCGTGGATTTATTTACACATAGCGAGTGAAATAATTTTCAAGTTGTATAAACATGCTCAATCTGTGGGTTTGTTATTCGCTTTAAAATAAAAAAATCGGATAATTTTCATTACTATTTTGCATTACTCACTAAAAATTAGCACAACAAAGAAAAACCATCCAAAATTTATTAAAATGCTAAATAGATACTGTCATCTAAGACAAATCGTTCCAACATAAATGACAGCCTGTGATCACAACTGTTACAGCCTACTGTGGAATGCAAATGTTAAATCCTCCCTTAACTGTTCCTCAAGGAAGCATTACTGTTTGTTTAAAATCGAAGGAGAGATCATTCCATAAACAGCCCTCAATCCTCAAGCATCGTTTATGAATCTTCCCAAGCAGTAGTAGTGGTGGCGGGAAGGTGAAGCCTGTCAGCTGGGACACCTTTGACCCTTTTTGCCGACCTTGCAGTACTATCACTGGGCTACTCCCCGAGCCACCTATTGGTAACTGATATAATGAACCAGCTCCACCGATGAGATGAACATAGCGTTAATATTGCACCCAAGTGCGCGATATAGACAACATACAACACAATATCCATGGCTCGGAATTAAGCATCCGCGAGCCCCTAGTTGTTAGGTCGATGCGTTAACCACTCAGCTACCGAGGCTCTCAAAATCTTCCCCAACATGAAAGAGGATATGATCAACCTGTAAAAACATGATTCTAAAACTTTCAGGTAGAATGTCCAAAGGAAGGAGTCTTTGAATTAATAGACAAAGATGGAAAAGTAATAGAAAAGGCAAACAATTCTGCTGGGATATATTCTCTTATGCAAGAATTGCCGCCTTTGGAGCCAGACGTTGCAAGAATCTTGATATATGCTGCCAAAGGAAAACCTGTTGTTCTGAGTTGTCCAGGGTAACTATAATATATATCCATGGTACAGGATACCATGAAGGTACATAGATATTTTGTTGATCTTCAAGGTAGTTTTCGTGCAGTATTGTAGATCTCAAGGGTAGACAGTCGATCAAAGTATTTAAATGTGTTTCATTGTAGAAATTTAAACACCGACGCACCAATATTATGGCAAATTGGGGATAAAAACCTAATACCGGACTTAATCGTAGCAGAATCCAAAGGAAGAATATATGTTAGCATTAGCGATAAAATTTATATAAAAATAGCAAAACTTGCCGATTCCAACGTTTACAGGTAACTACAGTATATTCAGATAAGAGATAGACCAGATGTAAACAAAAGGTTCGGGTGATTTTCACGCTAACGCCGCCGTCTCGACGTAAAACAGGAGCCCTCATTGGTCAATTCGCAATTAAATGCCTATGCCGAGCGGCAGAGCAGTCGTATCAAGGCAGAGTCACATTCAGGTTCAGACGTGTTACGTATGTCGTCATTGCAATTTGATATTTCTTTGGACGTTTTCGTTTGTTATCTTATTAAGTTGTTGAGTTTGTCGTTGTTATTGTTATACCTTGTTATTGATTGTTATTGTTATCAACTGCTTGCGCAAAATGCCCAGTAGTACAGATACTGCCGATGAAGTTGTAAACTCCTGTAGTCCACCTAGGAAACGCTCTAAAAAAAGACACCTGAGTGCAGAAATGAAAGAGGTCATTTTGAATATATATAAGATCGAGCGCGAGGAGAACGAGGCATCAACCATCAAAGAAATTGTTGTGAAGGTTTCTCACAAAGTTGGGGTGTGTCGCGCATCAGTGTTTAATGTGTTAAGACAATACAAAAAAAATCACACCTTTTCTGAGCCAATGACCAGTAAACATCGCAAAAGTATTGTTAAATCATTGGATGAAGCTGATAAGCATGCGATTAGGAGGAAAGTGCATGAATTCTTCTTTAGGAATGAAATACCTACTATAGATAAAGTACTGCAGGAGGTAAATGGAGATACAACGTTGCCAAATTTCAAACGATCAACTTTCCATGCGTTACTGAAGCATTTAAATTTCAAATGGAAAAAACGGGGTCGTAATAGTTTACTACTGGATAGAGAAGAAATTGTGCTATGGAGGAGGGATTATTTAACAAAAATTGGGAAATATAGAAATCAAAACAGGAAGATTTATTACCTTGATGAAACGTGGGTAAACGCAGGACACACTACAAGTAAAGTATGGGTTGATGATTCAGTAACTTCATCCAGGAGGGCCTTTCTAGATGGACTGTCCACCGGATTAAAAAATCCAGCAGGTAAATACGAGTAATAGACAACAATCGAATGTTTTTCAAACCTTGGGAACAAGGTTCTAAACATTAATTCCAGGGGGCAGATAAAACATATTACAAGTAACAAAACTTTTATAACTTTCGATAAAATGCGTGGATGTTTTATTGTCATTTTCATTTGTTAGAACTTTTTTAAGCCATGTTTTTATGTGTTTTCGATATTTCAATAATTTTTTAATATAATCTTAAAATATGTCGAATATTATAAACTTAAAAAAAGTTACTAAGTTTTATATTGTGTACCGTTCCTAATATTTCTAATCATTCTAATTCATACTTTAAGCTTTATAAAGTTATAATTTGTTAATATTAATATTTGCGCGTATTTCAGGTTCCTGAACATTCATTTTTTAAAGGTTTATAACTTTAAATTAAATTGTGAAGCGCTGAGTAATCATACGACGTTCAATATTCTTTCTTTCAATATGACTAAATAATCCCAATTATAGCAATCTGATACTCATGCCTCAATGTTTTTTCGCTGAATGTGATGAAAACATTTGAAAAAGGTTCGCTTATTGAAATAAATCTACACCAGTTAGTACTTCGATTTCCAGGTAAAGGGAAAAGGCTCATTATCTGCCATATTGGCAGTGAGGATGGATTTGTTGTTGACGGTCTGTGGTTCTTTGAGTCTAAGAAAACTGGAGATTACCACGAGGAAATGAATGGCGAATCGTTTGAACAGTGGTTTTCAAAAATTTTACCGAACTTAGAGGAAAACGCAGTAATTGTGTTGGATAATGCGCCTTATCATTTTCGAAGAATGGAGAAGGTCCCAACAACGGCTTCAAGGAAAGTTGATGTTCAAAATTGGCTCCGCTCGAAAAATATCAACTTTGAAGAAGCAATGCTGAAAGTACAATTATTAAGAAGGCGGAATATCAAAAATACGCCATTGACGAAATGGCAGCAAGTCAAAATAAAACTGTGCTCCGTTTACCTCCATACCATTGCGAGCTCAATCCCATTGAGCTCATATGGGCAGCGGTTAAAAATTATATAGCTAAGCACAATACAACTTTTAAATTTTGTGACCTCAAAGGACTTTTCAAAGAAGCACTAGAATTAATAACAGCGCAAAAATGGGAAAACTGTATTGAGCACGTGAAAGACAAAGTTGAAAAGAGAATGTGGGAACTGGACAATATTTTAGAGGAACAAGTCGAGCCATTCATTATTGACGTTGGTGCTTCAGGCAGTAGCGATGATGAAAGCTCATCAAGCTCATCTTTCCAATAAAAGATGTCGTTCATCAAATTCGGTAAGTTATAAGTAATTATAAAGCTACTGTATTTTTTAATTAATTATTGACATTTTTGAACCCATTTTGGCAAAACCTATTCAAGAATCTACTTTCTGACAATGTTCAACCATGCACATTTTTTTACGTTTTGAACGTTTTAATTTGGTTACATATTTACCTAGAAATCAAAAAATATACTAATCAATATACTAATCAAGGCTTAGGCTAATTTAAACGCCATTTTGAGATTATATTCGACTGTATTTCACCAAACATCAGGCGGCATCCGAAGCTGGAAATCGAAGCGAAAATTTTGAAACCCTTATGTATATTTACATCATTATATATTTCTTACCCCACCCCCACATGATCCTATATCCATCACCAATCGTATACACATCGAATTGTGCTAATTTACTACAAAGTTACGCAAAGCAGCATCTACTATCTAAAATATGCACTGCGTGACTCTTAATACGTCCCTGCCGAATGTTACAGCGTTCGATGATCACGTGGTCTTGTTTATGTCCGCTCTATCTCTTATCTGAATATACTTTAATAATAATTTTATATAAACCTGCAAATGTCAAAACTACATTTTGCCATTTTCCAGTTGCTGGCAGCAAAAGGAATTAGCAGGAGTCATTCGTTTGGTGATAGAAAAGAAGTTTGAAATGCACTTCAATCACCACATAATGCTTATGGGTCTGCTGATTATACTCTCAGTATTTCTGTATGTTTTTACTAAGGCTTTCTTTGGGAGAAAGTATGCAAAAGTTTGAAGTGTTCAGAATAAGTTTTACTTAATTTTGAATAAAAAATCCACAACCAGTGTTAAGTGGTGTTCCACAAGGCTCTGTACTTGGACCTTTTCTATTCCTTGATTACACGTCAGATCTATCAATGGATATAAAAACAAACACTTCATTTTATGTAAATGATAGCAAGCTATTCTGGAACCCTGCATTACAAGAGGCCGAAATACAAAGGGACATACTTGCCATCGAGGAGTGGTCTAAGAAATGGCAAATGTCATTCAATGCTATAAAAGCATACAATAGTTCAATTTAAAATGGAAGGATCACATTACCAACAAAATTTAAAAAGTCAACTCACCGACATATTTAATTGGAAAAGCTGTTAAAAACACTTCCCCTGCTATGAGAGAAAAGCTATAACAGATGTTCATTCGACCAAAACTTGAACATGCATTCAAAGATTGTAGTCCCTATTTTGACAAAGACATCGAACTACTGGAAAGATTGCAATGTAAAAAAATCGCGAATTACACCAGGGATCAGATATTTGCCATATGAACAACGTCTAAGGGCTATAAATTTGACAACACTGGCTGCGTGAAGGGAGTGAGGGTGCCTGAATGAGACATTCAAGAACATTCGTAGCTTTCAAATATTCAGAATCACTATCTTCATTTCCAAGGGAAAACCAAATAAATTAGAAAAAGAGAGCACATCTAAGTTGATGAGAAAAAATATCATTTCAAATCGTGAGATATACTCGTAGAACTCTCTCAGTGAAGAAACAGTGGGTGCAACAGCTGTCAATTTATTCACGAATAAGCTGGATAAGGAACTAGAAAGCAGGACATTATCCACCATAAAACGACTTTACGCAATACTATCATCGGGCTTTTTCGCCTACTGTTGTAGTGCTGATAATAATAATAATAACTATCATAATTATACAAAAAATATCAAAAAATCTGATTTTTTACTACCCTTTAGATCATAAGCTAACTTCGACAGTTACGTATCTCAGTATTGCTAATTGATAAATGAGGATGACTTACCACAATGCCATCCACTGGTTTCACAGATTGGAAAGACGGTGGTACCATTTCAGGAGTCAGGGCTGGAGGTGGTTCTATGCCTTTCAAACACCTCGCCACCAGCCACATAGCCAACGCAAATTGCTCGTTGTTCAGTTTGCCGCTCTGTTTGATATCACATAAGGCCCTATAAAAAATATTACGTGGCAGAAACGACCTAAGCCCTTTTCAAATCTCATGAATACCGCGTCAAAACAAACACCAGAGCGCAATCTGTAACTTGTTGTGGTACTATTGGTCAACGAGTTATAAATGTTTGCAGACAAGCAAATACAGGGTGCGGCAACATAACTTCCTTTTTTAAAATGGCATCCGGTCGAAGCGCTGCTGGTCTCGTTCGAGAGGCTGGGATTATAAAGTTTTGTCCCGACACAGTTCAGTCCCCATACTGCGTTGGAACAGTGGGGAACGTGCTTTTGACGTTTAAGCCAGCTTTTCGAGCGGATGTTCTGTGATTGCAAGTCAGCGCACCTTTCGGAATCGTTTCAATTTAGCCCGGTGGGGTATTACGTAAATTGGAAAGCGATATTATGTTGTTTTTTTTGACATGTAGTTTTTCCGACAAGATATCAACTTGGAACTAGCTGACATTCAATGCATGCTCACTTGTAGAAGGCCTCGGAATGAACTATTTGCACACTAGTAGCTACCTAGGCAACAAGATGACATTTTATTGGTTTTTTTGACATTGTATAGATTTTGTACGTAATAACACTAGATTAGTAACCCCTAGTCCCGGACTGGAAATCAATCATTACGTCGGTCACTACGTTCAGACAAACTGAAAGTGCGACTATACAAAAAACTGTCCCAACAACAGATCAACACTGAGGCAATGAGAGCTTCAATGTTGTGATCACTACGGCGATCTGCGCACAGATGTGTCTGCCCTTGGACTTCCCGATCGTTCTGTGATAATTCATCATCTCAATACTTACAAGATAACAGTTGTGCAGAAACTTTCTGAATGTGACTTAAATTCTCGGATGAATGCGTACCTGAGGATCCGTCATCAAACAAAACGTGCGCTACTGGGCTGACACCAATCCTCGAGAATTGCATCAAAGGCGTTGGCTTTCACCTAAAGTCACAGTATGGTGTGCAATTTCCTCAGCTGGAATAATTGACAGTGAATACGGACTACGCGGCCGCTCTCCCGATTTGGCCCCTTGCGATTTTTTCTGTTGAGTTTTTTGAAATCCCGTGTTTATGTGAACCGTCCAAGCACCCTACAAGATTTGAAGACTAACATCGAGGAAGAAATGGCCAACAGGACAAATGTCAGAAATCGGTTTACTCGGAGTGTGGAGAAAGGGGGACGTCTCCTATCTGACGTGATATTCAAAACTATGTAAAACTAAACTTTACGCATGTGCCTACATAGTAAAAAACAAATGCAAATGTTCCGATTCATGCAATGGGTTTTATAAAAAGGAAGTTATGCTTGCGCACCAAATTTCGAAAACAAAGATACAACAACGTGTTTGCTATTTGATCTTAGCCGCGCGTTTTATATTATTAACCATGCCTCATTATAAAATAAATTAAAAAAATGTGGAGTACGTGGCTGTGCTTATAACTGGATTAGAACTTACTTATTATTCAGGACACAAACAGCAAAGGCTAATAACAATCACAATTATGTTAAATCGGACGCCAAATTAGTAACTACAGGTGTACCACAACTGAGTACCTTGGGACCATTGCTATTCCTTATGTTTATAAATAATATGGATCTTACATGACCTAATATATTAAAAACGCTGTTTGCTGATGACCCAACCTTTACTACGCACGCTTTGGATCATTAGGATCTAGGAGCACGGATAAATAATGCATTCAAAATAATGAGCAATTACTGCAAGTCTAATTGTCTCGGCTTCAATGCACAAAAAACAGACCTGGTCCGGTTTATGTGCAGTGAATTAAATTTCAGAATAAGGGTTGATGGTATGGGATATAACTTGAAGCACAACAACTGTGCCAAATTTCTTGGTGTATACGTGGACTTCAAGCTCTCGTTTGTGAGCCAAACTGATACCTCGCCAAAAAAATATCAGTTCATTAATTTGTCATATTGCAGCTTCGGCAGCATGTCAGTATACAACTACCAAAAATATATTACTTCATACATGTTCATTCTATACTAAGTTATTACATAGTGGTCTGAGAAGGATGTTATATATAGAATGAATAGACTATTTATCATCCAAAAAAGAGTTATTAGGACCATGCACTACAAAAATTCAAAATATCCTGGTAGAGATCTATTCAAAACGTTGGACAGTGTAATTCTTGTATATTCATAAGTGTTCAATCTATGACAGGGATAATTATAATCAGTATCTTACTATCCTTAGCTCATCAGATAATGTCCGCACAAATTACAAATATTGTCATATCCAGTCATAAGCTTGCTTCGGTGTCCAAGGGTGCTTCGATCATGCCGATAAGATTGCTCAACCATCCTTAAAATCCATCGAGAGCACTTCAGCGTTCAAACGCAAGGTATGCGAATTTCTGCTTGAGCATCAATTTTGCACAACTGATGAATATCTGTCACGGCCATTATGATTTTAATGTGTTATTGATTTTAGCGTGTTTTGATGTGAAGGTGCCTTGATTTATATCTATTTATATTTATATATATATATATATATAAGGAATATGTTGTGTTCGTTGTAGATGACTCTTTGACTACTTCGAATTTGAATCTAGCAATTTATATAGTTGACTTATTCCTATTCCTGTAAATCAGGTCTGATGGATAAAATAAATGAATAAAAAATAAATAACAGTTCCAACTATTAGCAGCCACGTGCTTTCAGCAGTGATCGAGTCTAAAGGCGGGTCCAAACGCTACGTTTTGTACAACCTTTTGTCTGGGAAGTCTTAAGGCCGGCCAGATGCTACGTTTTGCACAACCTTTTATCTGCACAGTTCAACACGTTGCAGATAAAACGTGGCGTGTAGATCGGAAAAGTGAGCAGATTTGAATCCAGTGCGAAAACGGTACAGTTGCAGCGATAACTGAGCAACAGAACTTGAACTGTGCGGACATTCGGCGCATGTAGACGGTAGCACTGTTTTCCGATTCATTTTGTTTCTCAGTTTCAATTCGTTAAGCGACAATGGCTGACCTTCGGCAATTTTTATTGTATTATACGAAAGTTTCCCATGCATTTGGCGTTTTAAACCTAAGCGTATAGTGACAGAGATAAAAAGGGTGAGGCTTATGAGAGTCTAGTGGAAAAAGTCAGAGAAATTGGTGCAACTGCAAGCACGCGATCACTTTGAACGCCAAGTACTTCTGAGACGTTCCAGTCTTTTTTTAACGAGACACCATGCCAAAATTGACCACAGTACCTCTTCCATTTCCATATTACACAAAACTGACAGACAAAACGAAATATACAGATATCTCTGCACCATGCAGACACTCTAAAAATTGCAACGTTTTTATTCCGTCCTCAGACTGTGCAGACAAAAGGTTGTGCAAAACGTAGCATCTGGACTGGCTTTTATATGATAGATGTCGCTTTGCACTGCTGTATTTCGATAGTAAATTAATGTTTTGAATTATTTTTTCTTGGAATTTTGATGTTCCCTTACCAAATATGTGCGAGGACAGGCTGCGGTACTCCACTCTGCAAGAAGACATCTTTAATCTCCTGGCCAGAAACGAATCCATCCTTGTCAATGTCACTTTTTATAAACAACGTGTCCGATTTGGCCTTTTCTTCTGCGCTCACCACCCACGTCAAAGGCGATTGACTTACAACCGCGGGTTTGACCGCGGACGTCGGGATCAGGGGCGTAGCCTGCGGGGGCAGAGTGACAGGGGGCAGCGTTGCCGCTATGGGGGCCGGGGGTACGTCTGGTTTCATGCCATCCATACCTATAATGTCAACTCTTCAAACGCTATTTCATCTAATTTTTTGTCGTCATTCCAAATCCAAAATAAGTGTAAAACAAACAATTTCACATGCTAGCTCTGCAGCAGGTGAACAGCTTTCGAATATCACATGAATGTTTTTCCACTCTATTGTGGCTTTGGATGGTCTGTAGAAGTCTGTCAAAATACCTTTGTTTAATAAAGACCCAGTCATAGAAGGAGTCGATTTTTTCCTTTTTGCTTGTTCTAGTAACGCTGGAGGAAGTGTATTTGGAATCGCATATTTTTCTAATGCTTTATAAACCAAATGCATTGCCTAGAAAAGAGAAAAACTATGTTATGCTTGCTTACCAATGTCTCACAATCACAATATGACATATGACAGTAACCAAATTGTCTTCAGAAAAAAAAAACATTATTTGTACATCTTATTTCACGAGTATCCATCACGGAACAATGACAGCTAGTTATCTAGTAATATTTCAAAATTCCCCATATCGGCACAGGGCACATAATTCTGACGGATCCGCCAACGTCAACGTAGCCAGAGCTGTATTTTGTTTTAATTTTTTGTACCCATTTTGTAGTTGCTAACAGCTCTTTTATTTAGAAAAGTTCATTTGCATGCATAAACAAAACGCTACAAATAAGTTTTACTAGATTTACACGCGATTCATTATTGCCAACATCGCAGAATAATACAAAAATGTCACTGCTGATCAGCTGTTCACCTCAGTAGACGTTAAAGTGTGAAATAGGGTGTACACTGCTGCTGTGACAGCAAAATTTTAGGTTATCAACAAGCTAAATGATCAAAGGAAACCCTATTTCACGAGTATCCATCACGTTATGACCTCTACTGAGGTGAAAAGCTGATCAGCAACTGACATCTTTTGTATTAGTCATTGGCAATAATGAATCAGGTGTAAATCTAGTAAGACTTGCATGTAGTGCTTTTTCTGAATAAGTAGCATACATAAAATCAAAACAAAATATGTATCTGTCTATCTGGCATTGACGGATCCGTCAGAATTGTGTGTCACTTGTCGATATTGGGGATTTTGAAATATTACTAAACTAGAGACTTGAGTTGTTATTCTACTGTAATGGATCCTCGTGAAAAAGACAGTACGAACAATTTGATATGTGGAATTTTTAAATATTATTAGATAATCAGCTGTTATCCTACATAATGAATACTTGTCAAAATGACAATAGTCTAGTGCAATGATCAGTCTAACATGGTTGGACTGAATAAGTCATTGAATATATTAAAACTGTGGCTTATTATGATTCTCCAACATTCCTAAGTTAACAAAACCAAATATGAATATACTTAAATACATCTTGTTCATAAAAAAACTTACCACAATAAATTCATGTCTATTCAACATTCCATCTTTATCCTGATCAGCAAGATCCCATATTTTTCCTAGAGTTTCAAATGGCAATTTGGATTCCATCAGAACATTCTTAACCTGAAAATGAGCAAACAATAAAGATTACATAAGTCATCCTGCATTATATTCACATATGATACTACCATTGAGTATCCATTTTAGGCTCAGCCTCAGAAGTAGGTCAATACAATTTCTGAATGACAATTTCTTGAAGTATTTAGAATAGCCAAAAGGTTTTTTATTCGTACCTATGGCGATTATAAGAATAATTTATCCATATTCTGAGAATTATTTTCAATATTATTAGAATATTTTAGCCATATTCTAACAATGATTTTCAAATGATTTGCAAATTCAGTTGGCCAAGTGAATTGTCAAAAGAATGTCACTCCGCTCTAAGCATCAAACTAATTTGGTTAGTTTCCAACTGTCCATAACTGTCAGAAATTCATGTCATTCATCAATTCTTATCTAAGGTTCTATCTCCAGTTCAAATCAAACTTGATAAGAGTATCTTGCACATCTTCTATATTCCAGTGAAAAGATGAAAAAATGGGCATTTCAAGACAACAAAAAATTCTCATTCCAAATGAAAGAATAGTAGTCCCTCACCTTATTTCCTGGTATTAGACCATTTGTAGGTTGTAGTGAATCAAACAGCTTCTCATATTTTTCCCTTTCATTAGGTTTTATAGTCCAATCTACAGCTGATGGTGGTAGAGAAGTGATCAAAGGACTATTCTTAGGTGGTGGAGGCTTAGATGGTTTTGGTAATGGAACATCACCCTGGAAATATCAAGCTAGTAAATAAACTACAAAGGATATTTTTTTACAAACTTACCATTTTTGGAGGAGGGACATCCACATGGACATTCGAAACACTTAAGTCTTTGCCATTTTGAACAAGAGCTACTAGTTTAAGTGCTACAAACATTCCCGTCTTGTCTAGACATCCTCGCCCACCTGGATCTGATAAGTCCCATATTTTGGACAGAATCACATCACTTAAGCCAGATTTTTTTAGAAATCGAGCTGCTTCCATGCCTCCTACGGATCCGAAGCCATTTGGATCCACCTAAAATTTATTTATTAGTGTGTAATTGTTTCTTTTTCAATCATAAATTATATAATAATAATAATAATAATATACCAATATAGTTACTGTCCATGCAGAATCATCAGGAAATATAGGTAATAAATGTTATTCAGCCTTGTCGATTTTATGAATATGTATTGAATACTTTATGAACATGAAAAACAAATACTTGTAGAGTAACCATGCAATGTAACTACTTACCACATTATAATAAGCTTCATATATGGCACTATGACTCCCAGCTACCTAAAACGGTTGAAGGGTAGTTTTTAGTATGACTTAAAACGGCTGAAGGGTACTTTTTTTAGTATGATTTTCAGAGGTTTGTTTGAACTAGATTCTGAATTCAACTAACCATCATAGGATTGAAAAAGGACAAATTTTATATTTGGTGTAAATGTCAAGCGTAGAATGTGTTTGATATTTTACAAAGCAAAAGATAGGAGAAATGAAAATCATGTTATCATATTCACATATCGGAAAATTAAGGTTTTTCCGGTGAAAATGATCGATGGATTTACTAGAATTTAAACACCGCCCACAAATGTGTCAAACGATAACATTCAGACGAAAAGATCGTCTGGTTATTGTGCTAAATTGAAAGCGAATTTCATTGTCACTATGAAAATGCACTTCAGACTTGATAACACTACACAATTTGCACATTTTCCGTAAAGATTGACAGATTTATATGGAAAAAAATATCAAATTACCTGTGTCGGCGACGGCAACGCAGCCATCTTTTCGAATACTGAACCGAGCTCCATGATTGGTCCATTTTAGTCCAATAAGACGGTCAATCAATATGTGTGAGGCAGGTGACCAACATTACAGAAAAAAAACAAGGGCAATTACGAATTTAAAAATGTTTAAGGTTCTTTAAATTCCTCGTAAATGATGATAGATGTAATTTTCAATTACAAGAGTCCTTTATTTGGTGGTGGAGGCTTTTGACAGGGGGGGAGACCTAATAGCTAATAGCAGCTTTCTGCGATCTCTCCAAGGCCTCCGATTACGTCTAGCGTTCGAGTTAACAAAGTAAACCAGTAATAGTATAATCATATTAGCAAATTTCCCCGAAATAATTGTAAAGTTTGGTTTTATTGATCCAAGTTGTTCAAGAGGGTATTTAAAGTAAGGACGCATAAAATGGGGTACACCAATTTTTGTGGGAAAACTTTTTATTTGACAACAAAGAATGAGAAAACGGGTTTTTTGGTATTCAATCGAATGTGTTGACAGGAACGAAAAAACTTTTCATATAAGATTTTTAGGTATTTATGTGACCTACAAAATGAGACCACACATGAAAAGATCCGACTAATAGCAAAAATGTTATAGCTGAAAAAAGAGACCAAATACAGGTTTTGGCACTTGTTGGTAATGCGACGATAATGTCACGCAACCACTTGAAATTGTTCAAATCCGTAGGATTCATACTTATTAATAATAACAACAAAATTGGAGTATATTGGTCAAGTAGTTTTTTGAGAATTTCTAATTGTTTATCCCAAAACACCTATTTTCCGGCCATCACTACTAGTTTATTGAGCAATATACAGGGTTCGTTCAAAGAGCATTTAATAGCAAAACACACGTGTTTACCTTGCCGATATGAATCACAAAGCATTCCGAAAGATAAATGTTATTTTTATGCGAAAAACAAAAGTTACGTTTTTTCTTCTAAACAAATTCAAACATTTCAACTTTGTGAGTAATTGAACAAATGCGCTACGATATTCGAAAAACATACGTTACTTATTTTGAATATTAATTTAGTACATAGTTTGCGATTGATTTGACCAAACTTTGTTGCTAAAATAACTTGTATCGCTTTATTACATAAATTAACCATGGTATATTCCACAGCAGAGAGAGTTGAAATTATCGAAATATTTTTCGGAAATAATCAGTGTGCTAATAGAACAGCAGAAATATTTAATGTGCGACATGAGAACAGTAACGTGCATCGAAAATATGTTCTAGAACTTGTAGCTAAATTTCGGGAAACTGTGTCAGTCGCCAATAAAAAACGCAACATTGAAAATCCCATAAGGAACGAAGCAATAGAAGTGGGGGTTTTAGGGCAAGTTTATGTAGATCCTACGTTAAGTACCCGCAAATTGGAGACTGTGTGTGGTGTTAGTCGACGTACTGTCCAACGGATTCTAAAGGCCCATAGTTTTCATCCGTATAAAATTCACCTGGAACAAGAACTTAATGAAGACGATTTTGATCGGCGATTATAATTTTGTGAAGATATGAGTGAACGAATTATAAACGATGAACATTTTCTATTCAACACTTGCTTTTCCGACGAATGTTCCTTTTTCTGAAATGGCGTAGTAAATCGTCATAACTGCCGATATTGGTCCGATTCTAATCGCAGAATTTATCATGAGGTTCATACACAGCAGTCACAAAAATTAAATGTTTGGGCTGGTATTTTTGGCGATCATTTAGTTGGTCCTTTTTTCTTACCTGGAAATTTGACCGGTGAAATGTACCTATTTGGAATTACTGGAAGACGCCATAGATCCTGCATTAACAGCCATAATTGAAAATCAGAAAGATCGGCGGTACATTGCGAATAGGTTGATGTTCCAACAGGATGGTGCCCCACCACATTACGCATTACGTGTTCGACAATATTTAGATCAGATGTTTCCAGATCGATAGATTGGTAGAAGAGGTGCCATTGAATGGCCCCCAAGATCGCCAGATTTATCAACTTTGGATTTCTTTGTGTGGGGTCATTTAAAAAGCAAAATCTATGCTACTCAGCCAACATCATTAGAAGACCTGTGACTAAGCATTGTGAATGAGTGCCTTCAAATTACTCCTCAAATATTGCAAAATGTGAGGCAAAGCAAAATCTTTATTATTGCATGGAGAGTCATGGTGGCCATGTTCAACATTTACTTGCCTAACGGGTCAGTTCATTCTTCATTTTTAAATTACTTTGCTGCCAAATGTATTGTTCTCCACTAATGATGATGTATTAGTTTTATTTAAGCTTTAAATCAATAAATCTTCAAAACTACTAAACTGAAGCTCATTTTACATCATTATAAAGGGAATTTAAAGACCTTTCAAATAAGGTATCACTCGACCCCTTTCCATTTAAGATTTTAGGGTTGGTGTCACCCCCGCCCAGGGGGCTGCACGTGTTAACGTGATTTTTTGCCAAACTTGTGTCCCACCCGAAAACAAAATCGACGGGTCTGAGCGTTTTTCCAAAAAAAAAACTGAGCTGCCAGTAAATGCGTCTGTTTCGTTTTCGATGCGCCACCCTATTCCGCTGCTTGTTATGGGGAAAACACTTTACTGAGTTAAAAACTGATCAAGATCCTCACTAATATAATACCAGAATACAGGGATTTATTAATTACTCTTCAACAGAGACTGTCCCTTACTCATACGAGTTATACAGGGCGTTCATTTGAAAACTTCCCACCACGGATTTATCGAAACCCACTGATTAAAAGAAAAAACGCCGAGACACATCAAAAGATTTGTCAAGGCGGACCACTTTTTAACCAAAAACTACTTCACGCCCTTGCACCCTCGGCCCGGCCCCACGGTCATTCCCTTAAAACAATTTAAATGACAGTGAGTATAGAATAATAGCTTGTTTGATTGGTCGATTCGTTTTCGGGAAAATTAGAAAAATCTTTATCTATCTTAATTTGTACAGATAGAAAACAAAAACACTCGAAAACATCACTCTTTATCTCATAAGTGTTCAAAATGGTGCCCGTTAGGGTTTGCCAAATCTACAGTTCGTTTATAATTTAAAACGGAAACTACCAACATAAACAGCAATTCGGAAGATTAGACGTGGCAACAACCAAATAACAACCAGAATCTTTTTTCGCATTCTTTTGACCAACACATCTTGGGTGAACTGTATTGTTATACCTGTTTAGTTATTTGTTGCTAAGGGGAAGACACAATATAATTTGATGTCCGTTACCTTTGTGACAATCTTGGGATAGTGAAAATTAATTTATTGATCCAGATTTTACTTCCAAAATGGATTACATACTGGCCACTAGCCGAAAGAGTGCAAATGATTTTAATTTATGGTGTCCAAAATCAATGTGCTCGGCAAACTGCAGTCACGTTTAACGCCAGACATCGGGGGAAGATAACTTCGCATCTGTATGTTTTGGACTTTGTTACTAAATTTACTCAAACTAGATCTGTTGCAGATAAAAAAAACGTGAGCATCGGAGAGTTTTGGATGGAGTCGCTCAAGTTGAAGTATTGGGTCGTTTTGTAATAAATCCTAATGCTTCATTACGAAAAATTGTTACTGCGACTGGTATTTTATTACACACAGTTACTAAGCTCCATAAATTTCATACATTCAAAATGAAAATATTGCAAGAGTTAACCGAAGATGATTTCGATAGGCGAGTTGAGTTTTGCGAACAAATGACTGCAGTGATTAATGATAATACCAGAATTGTTAATAATGTGACAAATAGTGCCATCTGTTGGGCGAGTCTCCTACTCGCCGGAGCTTAATTGCCGATCTCTGCTTTTACGCGAACCACGGTGCACAAGCCGTCTGTGAGGACCGTGACAGTTGATCGCCGTCTAGATCGACGCGAAGTGATCTCCAACATTCTAGATGTCATTTTGTGGTACACCCAGTTTTTTTCTCGAAGCTGTAATGGGGACTATATATAACTCGACGGCCGGGAGATGTAGGCAGAGTACGGAATACGTTAGAGTAGCAGAGCGGAGCGAGCTCTAGTGGTGTATATAACTGTTTTAGCAAGCTGAATAAATCAGTGCATTTCTTTTTGTTGAATCCAGTGTTTTAAAATCCACACCCAAAAGAACTCAAAAAAACGCAACATTGGTGTCAGAAGTGGGATGTGGATTATTGGACATTTACTGAAAATAAATCGGACAATCAGTGAAGGAAGAATGGCGCGATTGGTTGCTTTGAAAATTGCCGATTTAAAGAGAGAGCTGGAGGAAAGAGAGTGCGACACGGCTGGAAAGAAAGCAGAATTGCAGGAGCGGCTTCGGCAAGCACTGATTGAGGAAGGTGAGGACCCGGATATTTTCATTTTTACCGGGGGATATTGGTTTAATGCTGCAAAACCTTTCGACCAAGTTAGGAAACAAGTTAGTGGAAAATTGTGCCAACCTAGAAGGAGTTACACGAAAGTACAACCAAATTAGAAGAGAAGTTTTTGGAAAATATTGCCAATTTAAAAAAATAATTGGAAGGTAAAATGGAAAAATCTTGCGAGTTGGAAAAAAGGATTTTAGAAACTTTGAAGGAGAGAATTCAAGAAGTGCAAGGCAAGTTTGCCGCTTTAGACGTCAAGATCATCGACGGACGACAGCGTGGACTTCCGTTGGAAAAATCAAGTGAGGCTGGAGCTTCTGTTGGGTCAGCTGGTCATCTGCGAATGAAACCGCCTCAATTTGATGGTACAACACCTTGAAATGTCTACCGACGTCAGTTTGAGGCAGCCGCGAATGCAAATGATTAGGTCATCGAACGAAAAGGTAACTGCACTCCTTTGGCCCTACGAGGAGATGCTGCAGCTATTCTTCAAAGAATATCACCCGAAGAGCAAGAGGTCTACGAACAACTAGTATGACATTTGGAGATGCGATATGGCCAGTCACATTTAGAACACGTCTATCATACTCAACTCAAGAATCGGTTCCAGAAGTCAGGGGAGTGCGAAGCGGCTATTGCGCGGTTTGTACGATTAGCATATCCCGATGTTCAGGAAAGGATAATGGAGCGATTGTCAGTTCAAGCATTCCTGGATGGACTTCGTGATGGTGAAATGAGGCAAGCCTTACACTGGCACGTTCCCCTAAGCTAGTAGATGCGTTAAGTTGGGCCCTAGAATTCGAAGCCGCTAAAAACATATGCCAGGAGCGAGTCCGCCAGATGGTATAAGGAGATAATGAGTTCGAAGAGTCCGTCAAGCGCATTATTAAGGAACTTGATGGTGAGCGGCGTAGCCAGAACAGCAAGTTGGAGTGTTGGAAATGTGGGAAAATAGGGCACGTTAGGAGACGCTGCTTAGAGGATGGTAAGCATTACCAGCGGGCAGAGGAGAAAGATGCCCAAGTATTAAGAACCACTATCGTTAGTGATACTTGGCAAAATGAAGACCGCATTAAAAACCAACAGGGTGATTCCCATCTTCGAATAATTCTGAACTGGATGAAAGAACAACGGAAACCAGCCTGGGAAGAAGTTGGCAAGATCAAGATTGTCAATTATAGATGCACAGAGAAACCACATGAAGAAGACATAGAATTAGATCTTATCCAACAAAATCATTTTATTGAAAAAGATGACATCAAAATCAAATATGTAAAGTATCTCCCATCGAAAAAATGTTACACATTATTTGCAGACATTTCTGGCAAATTATTCAGGACAATATTTGAAGATAACAATGGAAAAATTCTTCTTGGATTTCAATGTTTACCAGTGTATGATAATAACGAAATAACGCAATGCAAGAAGTGTCTTCGCTTCAACCACACCGAGAAAAAATGCCGCAATAACAAGACCTGTACCAACTGCAGCAAAGAGGATGTACACGATACTGACTGTTGTAAGCATGAACCGGTTGTATGTTGTAATTGCAAATTTTCAAACTATAGATATAACAAAAATTATAGTACCAACCACTCACCATTAGATAAAAAATGTCCAACTTTTCTATATTATCAGCAGCAGTACAACTTGAAAATCCTTTTTTAAGAAAGAAGAAATTTTAGCCAAAATTTTAGAATATTGCATCATTTATGACACACGAGTTATATCAGCCGTTCCTGCTGATATGATAGGAATACTGCCGACGATGCTACTAATTTCCTAGAAGACCTAGAGTTTACTTTATTGTTCTCAACACATTTTACAGTCAGTCAGATTTAAGCCTTTGTACTGTTAACATCATAATAACATTGTAATAATTTTGTAAAAGTACAGTTTTGAGTTTTGTAATTTTCAAAAAATAAACTTTTTAAAAAGCGATCTCGAAGCATCGATCTTATAACTGGCGCAGTCAATCCAGTAGGATCAGAAATACGCGACCCGGGAAAGACTTTCGCAAACCGTCGCGACGGGACTTTTCGGGACTCTATCCGGCCCTTTTGGACTTGGTGGCATTCGTGTAGTGGCAGTGAGCACTGGAGTGGATTCATATTTTTGAATACCCAATCCATCGAGGAACCGGCGTGAACAGCTACATACGAAGGGCATCGGAATTTGGGACCACATTGCCCAAGTTCGCAAGGATTCCAGCCTGGGGAAGACAACATTGCAGAACCAGCTAGGATCTTTATAGGAGTAAGAGATGCTAAAGATCGCTTTCTTAGTGTTGTAAGTGCAATTTATTTTTTCCATTTATCGCTTCAAATTTCAATGAGTATTGATATATCGCAAGCCCTTGAGAATTTGGACCTTAATACTGACTCTCCAAATACTCGACGGTACTCTAATATACTACGTGAGCCCATACTTTCACAAGTCCCTGTACATTCAATACCTACAAGTATTACTACAACTATGGCTACTTTTAGGCCCGAATACTTAAGTTGTGTGCCCGAATTTGACGGCAACAGTAACGATCTCAATCGATTTTTGCGTGTAAGCAAATCCTTGATTGACAATTTTTATGATCATTCCAATCCAAACAATTTTCAAAATACATTTTTATTGAACTCCATTCTTTCAAAGCTGAGAGGACATGCCAAATCTTTAATAAACATTCATTCAGTGAACACCTGGAGTGAACTCGAAACTTTATTAGTTACTAGTTTTTCTGACCAACGTGATGAAGTGTGCTTACATAGAGACCTTTGCTTACTAAAGCAATATCAAAATGAGAGCCCTCAAAAATTTCACGAAAGATGTTTGCATATTTTAAACAATCTGTGTAGCTACGTTAATATCCACGAAGCTACCGAAAGTGGTAAAGCAATAAAACGCGATTTGTATCAAAAACTTGCGTTAAAGACTTTCCTTTCAGGCTTGAAAGAACCATTGGGCACCACTGTCAGGTGCATGAAAGCAACCTCCTTGAGCGAAGCTCTTCAATTAGTGATTGAAGAACAAAATGTGCATTATTTCCAAAACGTTTCATATAGAGTTAAGACAGATTCACAGAATTTTACAAATTTTCAAAATTCGCAGTTCAGACCTGCACGCCCAGTTAATATGCCTTATCAAAATTTTAATTCTCGTACGCCTAATAGCTTTTTCCGTGCGCAATTCCCATCTCAACCCATCCAAATTCAACCTAGGCCAAACTTAAATAAGCGTTTCCCGACTAACGCTGAAGTCTTTGGCAACCAACAGACAAAGAATCCGAATACAAACGTTTTTAAGCCCAATTCTTCAAATCCAAGAAATCTTCCAAGGCCGACACCGATGAGTGTCAGCACAAGAAACACAATACGTCCACCATTCGCTCCAATTCCGGCGAACACACCTCGACCTCAGCAAAATTTTATCTTTGAGGAACTGTATAACACCGAGTTAAATGATAACGCAACATATGAAACTTATGATACAGGCAATTTTGCTACTAACGTCGAAAATAATTACGATGAATTCTATGATGACCCCAACCAAAATATTTGTCAATACGATCATTACAATACCGATCAAAATAATGAACTTGACATGCCCAACCCAACCTCGACGTCAGGAAATGGAAATTTTCCCCCAGCCAGCCAGGTTATTCAACCGACATAAACAGTGAAATTATATCGTTCAATGCTAGCAACACAAAAGGATTGAGCTATATAGTTTTTCCCGAATATGACATAAAACTTTTGATTGACTGCGGGTCTACTAGGTCATTTATAGATCCAGACATCGCATTCAAATATTTTCCACAACAAATCAAAAATGAACCATTCATTGTTTCGACTGTATTTCAGAAATCCGCCCATAAATTCAGTACTTTAATACCAGCATCCAAAATTTTCAATTTGCCTCATCTAAAGGAATTAAAATTTTACTTGTTCAAGTTTCATGATTTTTTCAATGGTTTGATCGGTATGGATAACTTAGAAGAATTACAGGCAAGACTCTTATTTCAAGAAGGGTTTCTTGTGACACCGTATGCAAAAATCAAGTTGCTTTATCAAAAACCTAAGAATAATTTGAATTTTGTTACCATCGAACCTCGCACTGAGCTTGTCATAAAAGTTAAAACATCCATAAGCGATGGCGAAATTATTATACCCCACCAAAAAATCCATAATTGTGAAATACCGGAATGCTTGACTATTGCGAAAGATAGTTATGCTTTAACGACCTTACTGAACAATACGACAGATACCGTTACACTCGACTTTTCTGAACCCCTTTCTGTTGAACCATTTTACCAGTCTATACATCCGACGATATGTCAAGAATTTGATCTTAATAATATCAAAGATTCTCCAGAAAATAAACTAGACTATTCCAAAATTAGAGTAGACCACCTAAATTCAGAAGAACAGTCCGCAATCCTCAAACTTTGCAAAGAATTTTCGGATATATTTTATCGTGAAGGCGAACCACTAACTTTCACAAACAAGATAAAACATCAGATTCGAACTACTGATGAGATCCCAATTTATTCCAAGACCTACCGGTACCCCTTTGTTCACCGACAAGAAGTAAATGACCAAATCCAAAAAATGTTGAAATCGAACATTATTAGGCAAAGTAATTCGCCATATTGCTCGCCCATTTGGGTTGTGGCTAAGAAGATGGATGCCTCTGGCAAACAGAAATGGCGCGTCGTAATAGACTATCGTAATCTTAACGATAAGACTATTGATGACAAATATCCACTTCCCAATATAAACGACCTGCTGGACAAACTAGGAAGATGCCACTATTTCAGTACGTTGGATCTTGCTAGTGGTTTTCACCAAATAGAAATGGATGAGAAAGACATTGAAAAAACAGCATTTAACACCGAAAATGGCCATTGGGAATTTTTGAGAATGCCGTTTGGTCTTAAAAATTCACCAGCCACGTTCCAACGAGTGATGGATAACATCCTCCGAGGAATTCAAAACGAAAAATGTCTCGTTTACCTCGATGACATTATCGTATTTTCGACGTCTCTTCAAGAGCATTTAGAAAGGCTACGATCTGTCTTTACCCGACTACGCGAATCTAACTTTAAAATTCAGTTAGATAAATCCGAGTTTCTAAGAAAAGAGGTTGCATACCTCGGACATATAGTAACTCCTGAAGGCGTGAAACCTAACCCCGACAAAATCTCAGCAATACAAAATTTCCCTATACCAAAAACTAATAGGCAAATAAAAAGCTTTTTAGGACTCTTAGGCTATTATCGGCGATTTATTCCAAATTTCGCTCAACTCACGAAACCTCTCACTAAGTGCCTCAAAAAAGGCGCAAAAATTGTTCACGACGACGAATTTGTATCATGCTTCGAAAACT